AGCTATAATACTGTGTACAATATTACCAGCTATAATACTGTGTACAACACTACCAGTCATAATACTGTGTACAACACTGCCAGCTACAATACTGTGTACAACACCACCAGCTATAATACTGTGTACAACACTGCCAGCTATAATACTGTGTACAACACTACCAGCTATAATACTGTGTACAATACTCCCAGCAATAATACTGTGTACAATACTACCAGCTATAATACTATGTACAATACTACCAGCTATAATACTGTGTACAATACCACCAGTCATAATACTGTGTACAACACTACCAGCTATTATACTGTGTACAATACTACCAGCTATAATACTGTGTACAATACTACCAGCTATAATACTGTGTACAACACCACCAGCTATAATACTGTGTACAACACTGCCAGCTATAATACTGTGTACAACACTACCAGCTATAATACTGTGTACAACACTACCAGCTACAAAAACTGTGTACAACACCACCAGCTATAATACTGTGTACAACACTGCCAGCTATAATACTGTGTACAACACTACCAGCTATAATACTGTGTACAATACTACCAGCTATAATACTGTGTACAACACTGCCAACTATAATACTGTGTTACAACACTACCAGCTATTATACTGTGTACAATACTACCAGCTATAATACTGTGTACAATACTACCAGCTATAATACTGTGTACAACACCACCAGCTATAATACTGTGTACAACACTGCCAGCTATAATACTGTGTACAACACTACCAGCTATAATACTGTGTATAACACTACCAGCTACAAAACTGTGTACAACACCACCAGCTATAATACTGTGTACAACACCACCAGCTATAATACTGTGTACAACACTACCAGCTATAATACTGTGTACAACACTAACAGCAAAAATACTGTGTACAACACTACCAGCTATAATACTGTGTACAACACTACCAGCTACAATACTGTGTACTACACTACCAGCTATAATACTGTGTACAACACTACCAGCTGTAATACTGTGTACAACACCACCAGCTGTAATACTGTGTACAACACTGACAGCTATAATACTGTGTACAACACTACCAGCTATAATACTGTGTACAACACTACCTGCTATAATACTGTGTACAACACCACCAGCTATAATACTGTGACGGTGTACAACACCACTAGCTATAATACTGTGACGGTGTACAACACCACCAGCTATAATACTGTGTCCTGCCAAAAGTGTGCAGCTTTATGTCAATTTATGTGAAACAGAAGCCGGAAAATAATTCCAGTATTAATCACCTTCTAAAAACTTATCTACATGTAGAATTTTTCTTAGTTTCTTAGAATACAGGCACATAAGTTCAACTCGTGGAGCATAAAACTATTAAAATGTATGTAAAATCCAGTTGTTTGCATGTGTGTTCGACCCGTTTGATCTCTTTGTTGATGTATTTCAAGCGTAAATACCAGGCTACAATGTACATGTCATGACGGTGCCATCTTTCGGACCTGGGTGATTTCTGATTTTCGAACTTTACTGTGGTAATTTACGTGTAAATAAGGATCTGTTCATAGTCAGTTTTGATAGAAAAATATATATTGCATAAAGCCATTGATTCCATGCGAAATTTCCACGATATTGTCACCCGGTGAAAAATTTTGACACAGAACATACCCATACTTTTTCGTACTCCGATGTTACATACCTTGTCTATAATAACAGTGAATTTTTTTATTTTTTTTAGTAGATATTTTATTGCATAAATAACAAGGTCAAGGTAAACACATTTTAGGTCAAATCAATGCCACTAGCACCTTTGATCACAATGATATACAACTTCTAGCATATCTTAACAAAGATAGCATGTCTCCCTAGGACTTGCAGAGCCAGAGGGAACCCTGTTTTTGTCAATAATTAACAAACTTTACATTGAAGAGAATAATTTACCCCTTCTGCAATTCCATCGTCACCAGTAGCATTCCACATGTTATCATCATCATCATCATAATCTGCCATTTTTAAACAAAATAAAGAAATCGACTTTTTTAAAAATTTGGATGTTGTTGTTGTTGTTGTAGTTTCGCCGTTAATATTTTGTGTTGTGAGATTCACTCATAATGAAGGACATATGACACTATATAAAAATACTTCGGACCACATACACTTCGGCTCAGATTTTGGGGTATTACTGAATACTGTACTGTATCGTGAAATATATATTTCGTGATATCAATAGGATGGTTAACTCATGATTCTTGTCACATATAATTAATTGGACTTGTTACATCTAATTAAAGATGTTAAAATTTCGACATTGCATGATGATCGGTCAGCACTGCATTATTGTTGTGAGTGCATGTTATGGGTACTTTGAGTTTCTTCCAATTTGGTATTTTTCTAGTCGGGTCGTTTCAGTATTTCTTACTTGAATACTGTTTAATCACCTTTAAGTAGTATGGAGATAAATAAAAAAAGTAGACAGCGATGACGTGGAATGTGTGCTAGCTAGGATGCGTCAGTCCTGGACATAGAGAGACGGCTTGAAAGGTAGACCCTTTGCTTGGAACAAACAGTGACCTCATGTTTGCTCAAAAATTATATCTTTGGATAATACTCCTTGGAAATTGTTTGTAGGTAAATTTTCAACACTTTGATCTTCAAAATTAACAATTTAGGGACATGACTGATGACATGTCTTCCATGGTGTCTGTACTTGACAGAGAAAGCTGCTTTTTATGCGAAAGCGCTAATGGACACTTAAACATAGACTACAGATATCTTCTCTTTCTTCCCCTTAGTCGTGCACGCATCGAAAGAATATTTGTAGAACTCGGTATGACATGTACGGGTTACGTACTCTACTGCGAAAGCTGTATTTTGTGCCTTGACCTTGCAAAAAGAAATAGAGACCTACTTGTATCAAGGTTTTATCTATTTATATATTCATGTACCCTCATTAAGCTTAGCCTACACATCAAGTATACATTTTAGATATTTATAGGTTTGACTTTTATGACTAACTAATTTTTTAGTAAATGACCACTCCTTTAGTTGCTTTTCAATTAGAAATATTGACATATCTATACATTTAATTTGCAATCAATTATATAAATGTTCAAAGTAAATCATGTATAATTTGTAATAATTGTAAAATGAATAGTATATTGCATTATCTACTGTTTGTCTCTGTGGACATATATACATATACTCGTATAATAATAAAAATACTTTCATTGGCGCACTAAATACTGTCGCACTTGTATTCAGCGTGACTCAATTTACGCTTAGATTCATTTAGAAATTTGACTTCTGCTTCCAACTGCTAGACAGAAATCCAAGCTCTAATGTGCTTTGCTCGGCCATATAATTAACAAGTTTGCTTCTTTATAACAAAGCATGCGAGAGGTCTTTAGATTTGTTTAATTGTTCAAATGGCGGGAAAGCAAGAACTTCTGATTAGTCAAATTGCATCTGTGAACCTATCGGCTATTTCTGTAAGTCTCCGAATGAGCTCAAATTAGGAATAATCGGCGTAACGTTCCGAAATTAAAGGAGCACCAAATTTCTGTAAATGGGTCAATCGGTCATTTAATAGTCCTTGGTGATATTGTTACGAAATTACTCTGTTTTTTTTGTTTTTGTTTTTTTTTTTTTTAACAGAAATCTGTCTAAACATGTTTTTGCTGAAAATATCTATCATTTAGAACTCTTTGCTTGTATAATAAATAAGAAGTCAAAGTGTAAACATGATAATAAAATAAACTGAACTAAAATTATGCATCATAATTTTATTCTGTCATCAGTCTAAAATCAAATTAAACACTTAATTAAACTACAGCAACTCAACTCAACAGCAACATCTTTTACCTCAATAAACTCAAAGAACTCCCGACAAATAGAAAATACCCAGCTGATATAATCTTTTATTTACGCATGCAGCTGGTTGTGTGCGAAAGTAAACTGGCGGGAGACCCACTTGCGGAAACCAATCTGCCCGACTTTTTGCACAACCTGATTTTTGCACGACCTATTATAAATGAGTGCTGAAAATGCTTTTACTAAGTTCAAAATGGTGCACAAGTGGTTCAGGTAAACAAACTGCAATACAATCAAATAAGTACAAAAATACATAAATGTACATGTTTACTCAATAGCATAGATATTTGTTCAACAATGCAACTAAGTGCAATATATATACTTGCATAAAGTAAATATATTTGTACGATTTATGGTATACAAGAATGATACACTTACCTTTGATTGACAATTCTTTAAATTTTATTAACAGCAGCAAAAATGAACTGAGAAAATCCCTATTCCAGCTTTACAAAATAAAACTCAACATTGGAACCAAGTAACATGGATAAAGCAGTAAGGAATTTCATTAATAAAATCTGATATTTTGAAAATGAATAGATGCTGAAGGGCTAACTTTGGAGAATGAGTTACATACAAAGTATTTAACATTTTAATTGTAATAAAAGCTTACAAAATGAAGCAAGTGTAATAAGTTTATTTTATTTTTACAATTTATAAGTTTTTTTTAACTTATGCAGGGTCTGTCTATTTGAAATACATGTACCCTGACTTCTGAGAGCTTTGGTGTTTGAATATATTTCTTTCTATCATTAATTAGAACAATGTGTGCATTCAAAAAGATAATGAAATTCGTCTCCAAGACAATTTTTATCTATTTATCTCTGGATACTGCCAACCCCTCTTACGAGTGTTATAGGCAGGAATTAAGTTCATATCGGTGAAAAGAAAAGCAAAAAAAAAAAGAAAAGTCCATGCTTTATATAAACATTCTAGGAATGTGAGACTGAAAATGTATTCTAGTTGTGGTTAAAATGTTAATAGTGAAAGAAGATGATAAGAGATAAAATAGGCCTAGTTTAAAAACACATAAGTGAACATAAGTTACATATCATATCAGCGCGTTCAATATTAAAATATCAACCATTGAGGAGTTTGAGTTTTCCTCTCCAATAATTATTTAGTGATGTTCAACCACAAGAGTTGTCGTTCATGTCGAGACAGGTGGCACACAATGACGTCATGAATATTTGCTGCAACGGCGTGACGGGATAACCATGGTTGACACAAAATTATACGATGTTCTTGGTGTTAAAAAACAGGCCTCTGATGGAGAAATAAAGAAGGTACCACTTTACAACCAAACTCCTATACACAATAATGTGTTTTTACTCTGATAATTAATATAAAATGGGGGAGATCGCCTGATAATTGGATTTATGGGAAGGTCACGGATCAGGATGTCATTTTTCGCGATCTATTTTTGGTACAAAAGACGAAATTTCACTTATGAAACTAAGATGATGAAATTTGACATGACTTTGAATTAGAAACTTTTTGTTATTTGTGATATTGCATGTTTGAATAATTCTAGTACGGTTTTCAGTCCCAAATTTACCATATTTGTATGGTTTCATTAAAAAGATTTTTTAAAAATAAATAGTCCATTACAGAAAATACTCCACACCACACCCAAACCCCAACTTAAGGATATGGAAGTCATTTTTACACCAAACAGACACACATAGATATATAAGTAGTATTAATGAATCCGAATTCCCCTTGGTCAGAGGCCCCAGACAACCTACCAATAGAAGGCACTTAACCACCTGACCACCCCCATCATCCATGACAATCGCTTAGTCCTGAACCTTTTGTGATTCAGACAATTTCTTAATTTCAGGCCTATTACAAGTTAGCAAAAGAATTCCACCCAGATAAGAATCCAGAATCAGAGGAAAAGGTAAATTAAATTTGATATAAAATTTGCTACATGTATAATTATATTTTAACAAACTTGTACTTCAGGTGACTAGATTTATAAGCATAATTATTTGTTTTATGTTTGACAATTGATTGAGAAGTGTAGTAAGTATTTATATTGTGTCAGGGGGTGGAAGTACTGTGCAGCTGGGATGGCTATGAGGTTGTGCGTGATCCTGTAGACCATCACTAGCTTGGCATTGGAGCGGCGATGCTGTAGAGTTGGCCAGCCTAGGTCTGTCATCATTGCAGTGGTGCTGCTGGTAGTTTTGTAGTCGCCTTTTACAAATCGGGCAGCTCGCCTTTGGACAGCTTCAAGCTGGTTGATGTTGGTGGCTGTGTGTGGGTCCCAGACTGTGCCTGCATACTCCAGGATTGGTCTAACAAGGGTCTTGTAGGCCTGGGCCTTGATGTCTTGTGGGCAGCTTGTGATGTTTCTTCTGAGGAATGATAGAGACTGGAAAATCAGCACTAATAATTTATTTTTACATCTTATATATTTTAACTATTTTTTGTGACACAATCTTTTATATGTCTTTTAGTTTACAAACATTACTGCTGCATAGGAAAATATTTTTACAGTATATTTCATATTTTTAGTTCAAAGAAATTAGTTTTGCATATGAAGTATTGTCAAATGCAGAGAAAAGAGAAACATATGATCGGTTTGGACTACAGGGTCTCAAAGAAGGGGGTGGAGGTGGAGGCAAGTAAAATTTTATCTATCATTACATATTGCAGGGCTCAAGCTAGGTTCAAAATTTAGGGAGAAGTCACTTCTCCCTCCAGCTGCTTTAGGGAGAAGTGGGGAGACTTTAGGGAGAAGTGAGGAGATTCATTTATCGATGTTTGTTGTATGTTATCGCAATTATGTTGACTCACTGTACATATCTTATTAAATGAATTGGATTTGTGTTACAACAGAATATTCAATTTTAATTTAAAAGTAGTTTGAAACAAGTAATAAGAATGAGTATCATGTAATGCAACCATTGCATTAAATGAAGATAAAAAAGCCATAGTTGATTCCTATCATGGATCATATCATGGGTGGATTTACAGTTATTCCCTTCTGATTTACTATTCATATTCACTTGTGTTGTAAAGAAAATGAAAGTAGATAACGAAAGAAACGATCTTTAATTTAACTTCATTTGTAATAAATACAGTGTAATACGCCGACAGTTTTATTAAATTTAACTCGTCGACAAAAAAGGTTATCATAACCTTCATTTAAATATAACCGTTACAGTTATATGTCGAGCGGTCCTCTTAATTCTGACAATCATTCGATAGTGAAAATTTCATTGACGTTTGATACGCGTCCATCATAAATAATTGTTACGGGTAGTTGTATGTTAGCGATGTAATGATTTGTTTAATAATGTCGCCTCGATTAAAACGTGAATTACGATTGGTTTCTCGCACGTATCGGTAATCTCACCGTGGGCGGAGTCTAATTGTTCCTCGAGTGTCTGTTAATTAGACTTTTATGACATGTTGGTAAACAAACGGACTAATGACATTTCGCGTTGATTGAGATGCATGACAGTCCCTTTTTCCGGCGGCGAGGGTAAAAAAAGCAAACACACACAACATGTTATTCACAGTTATTGTTATTGTTGGTAATTTTCAATAATGGATCAATAAAATCGGGCGACTTCATCTTCGCTTTCATGTAGGATGTCGGCGAAGTCAGACGGAATTCGGCGACTATTTCGCCCGAATCACCCACTAGCTCGAGCCCTGTATTGTTAAATGTAAAGAAACACACAAATCACAAATTTTGTAACAGTATTGTTTTGCTGGTCACATAAAATACATGTAGTATGTTTGTTTCTGTAGTTTAAGAGTGCTGGCAAGGTCGGTATCAATTTTTGTTGAGAAGCCAGTTTTCATTTACATAAGCATTATAGACCTGTATTATTAGCAAGAAAATTTCAGTACATCTCACTTTGATATGCAAATTCTTGTTGGAAAATAGTCTTGCATTGTATTTTTGTTAAAGTTACAGAATAATCTTCCTATTTCAGGGTTTGGAGGGGCTGACCTGTTTGGAGATTTGTTTGGGGGTATATTTGGTGGGATGGGTGGTGGTATGGGAGCAGGTCCCTTTGGGTTTGGTGGAATGGGAGGAATGGGCGGTAGCAGAAGAGGCAGGAGGCGTGGTGAAGACACTTACCACCCACTTAGGTAACTCAGAGAAATTATTATTATGATACAAAATGCAAATAAGGGCTTGTTTTATAAGATAAATTATGATATTTGCTGAAAAACTAAATTATGTCTACTTATTTTGTTTATTTTGATGAAGTCTGTAGATTGTTAGTTTGATTTTATTGTTATAATGCAGAGTGCCTGAACTTTTAGGTCTAGGCCAGGCCATGATTTCAATTTAAGTACTTAGCAAGAAGGCATAGATGTGCTTTAATTTATATTATAATTAAGTAAAACTGTTATTCTAATATTTAACAGGGTTTCATTAGAGGACCTCTACAATGGGAAGACATCTAAACTTCAGCTTAGCAAAACTATAATTTGTAAAAAATGCAGCGGGTTAGTACAATTATTTCTTCAATGATATCTTTACAGAAAGTCTTAACTTTTTTTTTGTGAAAAGACTGCTGTTAGTCTATTAGAATTTTGTTAAATGGATGTATTAACACAAATCTTGGTTTTAAGTTGAAGAAAAATATTGTAATTTAGATATTCAAAGTATTTTAACAAAGAGCTTCTGTGATACATCAAAGCTTTGTTGGCAGGAATCAGCAGGTACTTAGCTTTCATAAATAAATCTGTATTAAAGGCACATTATACCTCGGAAATGAATACATTTTCCATTCTATACAATTGGATAATATGTGTTTCATTGCATCAAAGTTGTATTTTGACTTCCATACAAAGTATTGAATTACTATCACTGTACTAAATGCCAACATGCAAATGAAGCAAAAGATAGTTTAGATATATGGTCAATGAATATCTTTTTTGAAAACTTTAGCAGGAAATCATAAGTAAAAAGCCTTTTGAGAAATAGAAATAATAGAATAATAGCATGTTTAGGCTTAATGGGCCTTTATCTATGGTTCAGTGAAACACTGATTAGGACTTCAATTTTAATTTTTTTTTTAAATCGCAATGGCACATTTTGTTTTAATTTCAGGTTAGGGGGTAAAGCAGGAGCAACAGTAAGGTGTCGTGTCTGTAATGGACGAGGAGTAAAAGTTACTTTAAGACAACTGGGTCCCGGCATGGTGCAGCAAATGCAGTCTGTTTGTCCAGAATGTCATGGAGAAGGTGATCTTTAAGTTTCATATTTCATTTCCCCAACATTTGTGAAAATACAATTGCTTTAAGATTGAGAAAGAGTACTTTTTCTTTAAAATGTGAATTTGGCTTAGAGTTTTTGTGAAATAACTGTGATAATGTATCAAAACGAATATGTGAAAGTCTTTGTTTATTTATAACAAGCAGGGTCATGATAATTACAGATTTGGATTTGTAAAGTGAATGATCAATATTCTGTATTTGAAATAGTTCCAAATTTTTTGGGTTTCTTTTACACAAAAAGTGAAAGATTCAGATGTGTTTAAGGGAGAGGGGTTCCCAAGTAAAGCTTACATCAGAAGTATGTGGATTTTTCTGCTTGTATGAATGAACAAAATTGTTGATATGTAATTGTATTTAATGTTTTAAAGGTGAAGCTATCAGTGACAAAGACAAATGTAAAGAATGTAAAGGGAAGAAAGTAAATAGTGAGTCTAAAATACTCGAGGTTCATGTTGATAAAGGTATGAAAGATGGTCAGAAGATTCCATTTAGAGGAGAAGGAGATCAGTTGGTAAGTAACGGTATATGATAGATACAACATAGAAATGTCTTGTTTATAAGATCATGGCAGGTTTTTGTTTTTTTAACAAAATGGTGCTATATAACAGCACACTGATCTTTTAATCTGGACATGTAGCCAAGTATTTCATCTTAACAACCAACAAAAAATGTATACATAGTGATAAATAAAATTATTAATGTAATGAATAGTTTTAAAGTTATCTGTCAATAGAATGAAAAATACAAGTATTAACAAATTATTAATGACATTTCATGTATGAACAGGTTTATATGTATAATGCAGATTAGAAAAAAGGATAATCTCTTTGTTTGATAAAATATTCTTTGTGAATAAGGCAGTCAAAATACATAAATGATAAAATATTCTTTGTGAATAAGGCAGTCAAACTACAATAAAAATAATTGTTAAGTTTGTATAAAAAAGCACTATAACATGTACATGTGGTATCATTGATGTTTGCTTTTTTCATACACATACATGTCCTGTCAATTCAGCTGTTTGAAGTTTATGACAATCCAGATTTATTACATTAGGGTATTGGTCTTAAATTTACGTGTAAAAGTTGTATTACATTTGATATTTTCAGCCTGATTTAGAGCCCGGAGATGTTATTATAGTTTTACAACAGAAAGAACATGAAGTGTTTTCTAGAGACAGTGATAATTTGTTTATACCACATAAACTAAGTCTTACAGAGGCTTTATGTGGGTTTGAGTTTACTGTAAAACATCTAGATGGTAGAGAACTGATTATAAAACATCCGCCAGGCACTGTGATAGAACCAGGTTAGATTTTCCTACCTTAAATACATTAGTTTAGTCTTCCATGTATGTTTCTTAGTGCTATAACCATATGGTCTCTTTCTGGTGGTGAGGGTAAACAAACCCAAATGCACGCACATACCAAAATAACAGAACATTTATTTATACATTTTATTAAAGTGAATGGGTCTATTATGAAAGGTTTGTAATGCAATGAATAATTATGCCGATAAAATTTAATATTAGACAAAACATCATTCTATGCAAGAATTATACATGGAAGTTGTTGGCATGTGTGGGATACATGGTTCAATATTACATACATTTATATAGTAGGTAATAATATGTTCTAGAACAAAATATGGTCATAACACTTACAGTTATTGGTAATAATAAATACCATGCTTTGAAACTGATATCAGAACTTTGATAATTACTTATGTTTTATATTGTTTCTACAGTGGTAATAACAATTATGCTTTCTTTCCTTCATAATTGGACTGGTGATTTCTCTCAAGTTTTATGTTATATATATATATAAAAAAATCAAAGTTACAAAACAAAAATATTTTTTTCCTAAAATATATGATTTTTTGAGTTGTAAACATTATCTGCATTTTTTTTAGGAACAATCAAGGTTGTAAAAGGGGAAGGCTTTCCACATTACAGGAATCCATTTGAGAAAGGGGATTTATTAGTCAAATTTGATGTGACATTTCCCCCACAAAATTTCGCAACAAACCAACAATTAAAGGTGAGTTCAGTAAAGTTATGCTGGTTTTGTATATGAAAAAAAAGTAAATCTTTATTATTGTCATCTGTAGTAGGAGAATAATTTATGAATAATTAATTATAATTAATGAAACGCAGAGATGCTTCCCACAATTCCAACATGTAAATAAAGGAATGTTTTGCTGTATAAAGTTACCATATTTATGCTGTGTACATAATACCCAACAAATGTATTAAAATATGATGTAGTTTATAATGTTTGTAACACTGAATTTACACTTACCATCAAAGATACAATTTAACAAAATGATTTGTATGTTACAGAAATTGGAGAAGATTTTACCAGCCAGACCAAAATTTACAATGCCTGAGGGTGAACATGTTGAAGAAGTGAACCTTATGGAATACGATGACACTCGGTCAGCCGGTGGGGCCGGCCGACGGGAAGCATACCATGATGATGACGACGACGATGATGATGGAATGCCGGGCGGTCAACGTGTACAATGCGCGCATCAATGATCAAACTATTATTTTAGCAATTTTATTGTAGATAAAGGTATACATGATAAGGTCTGTTGTAAAGTGTCACACAGAGGCGGAGAGTGACATGACGCAGCTTGATGTATTTAAATACCATCTTCTAACTGATACTTCCTCTACCATGAGTCCTCGATATTTTTTTTTATAACGAGAAAACATTGAAATGTAAACGCTAGTAAATTGATCAGTGAGTTATGTTTCTTACATTAGATTTCGACTTGGAAATGACGTGTTATTTAAATGCTACGTTCTTGATATGACTGAAGTTATTTCTAAGGAAACATTAAATGTACAGAACCGAGAAATAACAAAGTAATTTCAACCATACAAATGCTTATAATGGAAGTGTAGAATTCACAGTTGATAACTTCCCAAGATTTTGCAGATGTGTTGGGAGTTGCAATAAATGAAATGTAAAATTGTAAGAGAACTACATTTACTGGAAGAAACAAAATAGTAACTGGACATTTAGTTAATTACTTTAAAGTTAAAAAAAACATTGAAAGAGTAGATGAAAGTGAAATGAAGCCTAAATGCTGCACAAAGTGTTATGAACAAATTTAAACGTTTACAATGTAGCTCAGTTCTATTAGCTAATTGCCAGGTGCATTTGAAAATGAAAATTTATTTCATTTACTTACATACTGAGGGGGCTGTGTTGAGCATTACTTGTGTTCTGTAGGCAACTTTATATGGAACACTTTGTGTTTTATTTTTAGCTCGACTATTCGATAAGAATAAGTAGAGCTATTGCAGTCACCCGAGCGTCGGCGTAACCACTTATGTTAAAGTTTTTGTAATAGTTCAAATATTTTCAAAGTCCATTGACATATGGCTTTGAAACTTTGCACACTTGTTCACCATTATGACCCCAACCTGTAGACAGGAGGAGGTAACTCTATCAAGCATTATGACAGGATTATGCCCCTTTTTCGACTTAGAATTTACGTTTAAGTTTTTGTAATAGTTCAAATATTTTCAAAGTCCATAGACATATGGCTTTGAAACTTTGCACACTTGTTCACCATCATGACTCCAACCTGTAGACAGGAGGAGGTAACTCTATTAAGCATTTTGACAGAATTATGCCCCTTTTTCAACTTAGAATTTACGTTAAAGTTTTTGTAATAGTTCAAATATTTTCAAAGTCCATTGATATATGGCTTTGAAACTTTGCACACTTGTTCACCATCATGACCCCAACCTGTAGACAGGAGGAGGTAACTCTATCAAGCATTTTGACAGAATTATGCCCCTTTTTCGACTTAGAATTTACGTTAAGGTTTTTGTAATAGTTCAAATATTTTCAAAGTCCATTGACATATGGCTTTGAAACTTTGCACACTTGTTCACCATCATGACCCCAACCTGTAGACAGGAGGAGGTAACTCTATCAAGCATTTTGACAGAATTATGCCCCTTTTTCGACTTAGAATTTACGTTAAAGTTTTTGTAATAGTTCAATATATTTTCAAAGTCCATTGACATGTGGCTTTGAAACTTTGCACACTTGTTCACCATCATGACCCCAACCTGTAGACAGGAGGAGGTAACTCTATCAAGCATTTTGACAGAATTATGCCCCTTTTTCGACTTAGAATTTACGTTAAAGTTTTTGTAATAGTTCAAATATTTTCAAAGTCCATTGACATATGGCTTTGAAACTTTGCACACTTGTTCACCATCATGACTCCAACCTGTAGACAGGAGGAGGTAACTCTATTAAGCATTTTGACAGAATTATGCCCCTTTTTCGACTTAGAATTTACGTTAAAGTTTTTGTAATAGTTCAAATATTTTCAAAGTCCATTGATATATGGCTTTGAAACTTTGCACACTTGTTCACCATCATGACCCCAACCTGTAAACAGGAGGAGGTAACTGTATCAGGCATTTTTTTTACTATCAAGCACGAAGAATAGTCGAGCGTTGCTGTCCTACCGACAGCTCTTGTTTATAAAGTGATAGTGGACTTCATCAATTATTCCTGCTCAAAACTTTTTATCATGTTAGTAATACATGTTTATGTCAACGGAGTGACATATAATCAATTTCAACAGAATTACGAGTGAACTCGAGTTTTTGATTATGAAAAAATATTGTAAAAATTTAGTTGAAAGAAGAGATATGATCAAGACAAAGGGATGTATCCTACAAAAGTATTTCTGGCATTTGATTGGCTAATATCTATTATTGGCTATCTTAAGTGTGGGTATTTTACAATGTTGTCTTCTGAGTACAAATATAAATCAATCATTAAACATGCTTGAAATGTACATTTTTTTTATTGTGTAAACATTTTATTTTGTCTTTACTTTAAATGAAATAATAAAGAATCTGTACAATGATATTTTAGGGGTAATTATACATTTTTCATACCAAACATGTTGTGCCTATTTGACATTCATCCAAAATAAGGAACTCATTTTCCCAGTGTTAATGACAAAGGACCCATGTTCTTCCAATGGTTTAAGAGTATGAATATGAAAGTTTATCTTTGCATGTTGTAAGTCTTTATTTCATACAAGTTACTACAGTTTTGCGGTCAACCCTCAAAATGCAGGTCTGTATTTTGAGATTTTGTGTGGCTTTGTTTTCAGTTTGCTTTCTTCTGTTTAATGAGCAACGAAGTTGTTATATATTTGCATGTTGTAATCAATGTCACTTAATCATTTTTTTCTCATTGAAATCCCCAAGTTAATGGAGCCTCAGTAATTTTTTGTTTGTTAAAAAAAATCTTTGTTACTTTTAATGAACATGGTTCAACTTAATAAATTTCCTGATTTTGTACAAGCAGTATAAAACAGTATCTTTTTGCTGAGATTAAAAATGAAAGACTGTCATAAGTTTTTTGCTGTGCAGGGTATGAAATTTTATGGGTTTTGTTTCAGTCTTTACTCTTCTTCAAAAAATCAAAAATTTTACTCTTTAGTTAATAAGTGTATTAATACGTTTTGTTTAGATATTGTATTAATTTTCACATTTCCATTTTGAGTTTATAGATCATATCGGTTTATAGAATTATTTATTATTGTACAAACTGTATGCTTTAAATACAAATCAACGCTAATTAACTCCTATTATCTATCACAGTACATTTTACATTTACATCGCCTACTCACCAAAGTTGAGAAATTGCTATTTGTTTTAGTGAAAGTTTGTAGAATGCTTTGTGTCAAATAGCAGACATTTTTAACATTATACACTTTACAAAACTTACATGTGTAAACCACTGTAGATCTGTACATATCTCTGCCAAAACTATATGAAGTAATTAAAGTCTTGACTGTATAAAAGCCTATAAACTTTTAAGGATAATGGTTTGCATGGTTGACTGTGCATCAAAAACACTCCTGCAAATATTGTTTAAGCAATAAATATTTTGTACAGCATTTATATATTCGAAAAGATGGGAGGATTTTCTTACAATGCATACAGAATTTGTGTACTTAAACTTTTTATTATGTTAATTAAGGAGCCAGCTCATTATTTGTAACTAAAAAGGTAACAGAGTATTACTGCAGTTGGAGTACATTAGTTTTTATATTGGTGTCCATATTGCCTGTATAAATTTTCTCTCTGTTTTTTTTGTGAAGTGTAATGATTTGTAAAATATTTTAAACTTTCATACCGGCTTTTTGTGATTATTTTTGTTAATAGACCATATTTTTGCTCTAAAAGCAATGTATCTGGTATGACGAATATATAATGAAGTTACTAAAATTTTCAACATAATATAATGAAGTTAATGAAAGTTTCAACATACACAATGCAGTTATTGTCAACATATATAAAGAAGTTATTGTCAACATGTATAATGAAGTTATTGAAAGTTTCAACATATACAATGCAGTTATTGTCAACATATATAATGAAGTTATTGAAAGTTTTAACATATATAATGAAGTTATTGAAAGTTTCAGCATGATTTCTTGCCTTGATAGGTTTTAGAACTGTATTTGGATGCCATGCACAGTGCCTGCTGTTGGTCAGTGTATATATAACGACTATCTACTGCCAAAAAAGTGGGAAAGTTATATTAAACAAAACCATGTACAGATATTGAACCAATTAGCGTTTTATATGGCAAAAATATACATCATTGGCTCTTTGGAGTTAGATTGGATTTGTAGAGTTCGAAATACATGCCGTCATCATTTCATTTGTGTACAAACTCAATACCAAATACACTACATTTAATGCTTGACTGTTAAAAAAATTATATTCTACTTTTACTGGTATGTTAACCGATTTTAATTATATACAGTAACAGTCTTTCATTAGTTTTCTTTATTTTGAAGCTTGTTTTTATCTCCTATCCAAATTGATCAACATTAAATATAGATAAATAATGTACCTATCGTAAAAATAAATAAAAATTAAATATTGACCAAACATATGTTTTTTGTTTCGTTTTCTATTATGTTTCTTTATGTAGACTGTATATAGATCATTCCAGGAGAAATTAAGTCATAAAATTTCTAACAGCATATTACAATAATAAATTAGTCAAGCGGTGAAGTGCCTCACTCAGAATTACTTTCCAGTGACACGTTCATTGTCTGAGCGCCTGGCTCCGTGTTCACTAAGAAAACATCGGGATCAAATGAAAGTAATTTTATTTTTTATAATACTTTAATTGATCGTATTTTGCTAGAATTAAACGATACTTGTATCATAGTTTGGGGACCTTTCTGTTGAAAATGTGTCAGAGTTAAATCGTATACATATACATGCACAGTGGGTTTACTGGAATGCAGGTATAAGTTACCCGCACTGCAGAACATGCCCATTCATTGGTTCATTTTGTCTGGGGTTTACATATTGTGACGACGGGGAAAGGGAAAACGATAGTAATATCATTTTCAGATGCTCGTTCATTGGTTCCTTTTTTCTGGGGTTTTCATATTGCTGACATCAAGGAGGGAAACGTGGTTTTTTAATTTTTGACTATGACACCCAAAAAGAGGAAAGAACCCATTTTTTTTCAAAACACTCCCGGCGAATCTGATTTTATTACTGGGGGGGGGGGGGGGGGGCTACGCCCCTCGTACAAATTCAGGATAGCCTCGTGTTTTGCGATTGCTCTCTTCTGAGTTACTTATTCAAAGTAAAAAACATTGCTTATTTGCAAACATCGGTCAGGTTACCACGGCTTATATATTCTATGTAATCCCCCCCCCCCCCCCCGAGTATTAACCAAATTTCCGGAGTGTTTTTGATTTGTTCTTCCTCCCTTTTTGTCCATAAAAATTATCTAAGTTCAAGGGAGGAATACCTGATAATTTTTGTGCGTGAGTTGTAAACCTTGTCACAATATGATGTGGTTGATGACCAGAAAATTATATTTAAAGTTTGAAGTAAACACCTTAAGAACTAAAGAACTTGTAGTGAAAAAGCTGAAAATTTTAAATCAGAAATTTTTTGAAATTCAGGCTATTTGTTGCCATAGCAACCAGAATTTTCAACATAGGAAGAAAATAAAAAGATGTGCATCATCTCCAGACTGCCCATCCACCCATATTTCAAGTTTCATAAAAAAATATTTTCAGTACTTTTTGAGTTATCACTGGATCCAGTTTATGTGTTAAATTTGCCATATTTTCAGACTATTTGTTGCCATAGCAACCAGAATTTTCAACATAGGAAGAAAAGAAAAAGACGTGCATAATCTCCATACTGCATCTATCCATATATCAAGTTTCATAAAAATATTTTCAGTTACTTTTTGCGTTTTTTTGCGATCCAGTTTTTGTGGACGGACGGACGGACAGACAGACGGACGGACGGAGGGTAAACCTAAAGTCCCCTCCGGTTAAACCCGTAGGGACTAATTATCATTTTACAATAATAAGTATAATAATAATAATAAAGACTTTATTTAACGAGAGAAACTCATTTGAACAAACATATCAATCTTCAAGAGGCCCCTCAAACAAGGAACAATATGACATTTAACATATTCAAACTATAAAAATACATAATGTAAAACATACAGGAGATTAATCAAATTTGTATACTTCAATGTGTGATAAAACATAAGTATAGAGAGGTTTTAAAATGGTTAACAGATGTAGCAGACTAATAATAATCAGGGAAGGCCGTTCAAATACAAGATCCAGAATAAGCAAAAGACTTACGAAATTGTTCATTATTTGGTCTAGGGGTATAAAGTTGAAAATCAGAATGATGAACCGCAAAATGCGAGTATGAACATCTGACGATAAAAATGAAAATTATTTCAATAAATAGGAAGGCGCCTGATTATTCATTATTTTTAAACATCATAATAGCTTTTTGAAAACAACCCTCTGTGAAAAGGTAATCCAGCGGAGTTCAGAAAAAAGTTGTCAGCAATGGAGTGTCATAATCTTTGTCTAGAATTAGTGCTTGCAGCTCTCTTTTGGAACTTAATGAGTTTATTCTTCTAGAAAAGACGTTAGCAGTTACCGTAAATTATGCAACAATAATCAAGATGTGGTAAAATATATGCATTGTAAAACATTTTACGTACAGGTATAGATATGAATAATTTTATACGTGATAATAAATGTAACAATGAGTTACACTTTTTAAGAACATTTTCAATATGGCTTTGCCAAGACAAGGTGTTATTAATTGTAATACCCAATAATTTTTCTTCATAGCTACAAAAAATTTGCTAAAACAAAAAAAAACGTCAATTTTTTCTGAAGAAGACTAAACGTCGAAAGCTTAAGAAAAGTGTTTGTTTTTATTGAACTGATTATATACTCTGTTTTATATAAAATACAAGGATTACTTTCATGAATATAATTTTGCTTGTGTTTTGAGGAAATATACATGACCTTAGTTTTGTTAACATTGATAGATGACATGCGATTCAAATCACACCATTTGTTGGCATCTTAAAGATCATGAGTAAGAGATTCAACTACTCTGTTTAGGGATACATCAGAGGTTGAAAGGGTGGTGTCATCAGCAAAAATATCAGTTTCTGTTTTTTCCATAGACAAAGGCAGGTCAATTGATATAAATTAAAAACAGTATAGGGACCTAGCAATGAGCCCTGAGGAACTCCAGTAGTTACTGAACTTGACTCTGAATATAAACCGAATATGTAAGTTTTGTTGGGTTCTGAAATCGTAATAGGAGGAAAACCAAGCAACTGATGAAGGGTCTAGGTTATACATTCTAAAGCTTTTCAATAATAATAGAGTGATCCACATAGTCAAAAGCTTTAGAGAGATCAAGGAAAATTGAACCAACTATTTCATTTTTTGTCAATAGCTGTAATCCAATCATCAATAATTCTAATCAATGCTGTTTGACATGAATGATTTGACACTGAATCCAGACTGACGTTGGTAAAGAAGTTGATTTTTCTCAAGGTATTGCCTTTAAATTGTGAACTGACATGACGTTCAAGAATAATGATATCAAGGGAAGTATGGAAATGTGGCCTATAGTTTCTTTTATCACTTGTTAGAACCCTTTTTATGTTAGAATGACTTTTGCATTTTTTGAATGATTTAGGAAATGTATTGTTTAGAATACTGTTATTTGAATATGAGTGGACTAAGTATGGGAGCAATAATATGAGCCGATAACTTTAGAAACCTTGCACTGAGCCCATCTTACCCACATGACTTGTAAATATCAATCGATTTTAATTGGTTCAACACATAAGAGTAGCTCTATATTTTAGGTATTTTGAAAGGGATGGTTGGGTTATGCTGAAGTTTAGATGCACGTTTTAGTTCAACAAGCCAGGATTTTCATAACCAGTCTGATCAATAATGGGCATGATGGGAGCTGGGTGGAGATTCCCAAATTGGTCTGTTGAATAAATTTGCAGGTGATTAAAGGGTCAGGATTTAACCAGGGTTCTGGCTATAATCATCGAAGTAGAAATGTGGTTTGAGACCTTGGATTTGTAACTCAAGATAATTCATTTAGACAACCAGTACCATAATTCTTGGGTTGTGCTTGGTTTTTATTTTGGTGGTCTATCATTATCAATATTGGTTCGCTTAGGTTGAATCATGATATGAGAGACTTAAGACGTTTGTGTTTCCATATGCTTGTAATTATATTGTCAGTAATCCCCTATGAAAATGTGGTGGTTTGTTTTAATAGCATCGAGGATGTTGATTTATAATTCCAGTTTGAGTTCGGTGATGTGGCCTTACTTACTCGTGTTATTCTGGTGTCGTGCATGCTTTTTCAAGGACAGAGCGAATTTATTGCAGTGAGACAAATTTCGTATAGAGTTTAATGTCTTTATTTTCGCTACAGATGCTACTTGTCTGACCTGAGGGTTGCTGCTGACAATTCGGTTAAAAATACGGATTTTCATAAGGCAAAGTGGTTTAAGAGACGGGAAGGTGCTATTTTGTTTATGGCAGTTCGGGGACATTTACGCACCTGGATATTGAAATGGTTGCCGTAGGTAAGGTTACAAATGGAAGTGGTCACTAAATGGAAGTAAGAGAGGTATGACAAGAAAACATCGGACTGATATTTTTGTAGCGCCATTTTGTGAAACTTCGATGATCTTGTCCAATGTACAGAGCTTGAAGTTACTCTGGGTAGAGGAGAGATGTCAACCAAGCTGAGAAAATGTGTACCGACTGCAAATTAGGATTTAACCAATCATCTGCAAGATGTTAGGAACAAGTTTAGTCATGCTTTCAAATATCTATAGTCTTGAAGATCCGCCCAATAGACAATCATCATTTTCCCTAAATAGTGACACTCTACAGGATAATAGTAGCACAATTATCAAGCTCACTCAATTTTAGAAGATGCGTGCTGCTATCATACTATCATACTAAATGAACCGATTTATTTAGGGCTGTGTTTAAAGTTCAACTGCCAGAATGGTTCATAGAAATACTCGTTCTAAATCAGATTAGTGTACAAGATTAATCCAGGTCTCTCTATCAAGTATAATTAACACGTGTTCCATTGGATGCGAGGCCTGTCTTTTTGTTCGCCTGCGGCGAGGGACAGAAAGTGTAAAATTGGTCCAACTGTAAGTTCATCTGTCTAGAGATTTACATTTAGCGCAGAAACGTTTTCACATTAACAGAGGTTATAATCTTTTGTTTGAATTATAAGTTTTGGAGTTCGCGGTATGTGTTCCAAATTTGGGTACATATAGTGAATGTTATAGGATGTAGTATGGTTCAAGATATACGCCTTATGTGTGTAGTATCTCAAGAGTTATATTCTTATTGGAGTCATATAGGGTTTACAAGTATTGTCATTACAATTTCATTTAGTCAATAATTAAGCATTTGTTTCTCCATATTAAAATGAATTACTTTCCACAAAAAACATGCAATATTTTAACAACGCGCGTAAAACCGTTCGGCCAATGACGGAAGAAATTCTGATTTCTCAGCAGAAGGTTGATGTTGAAAAACTTATGTTGTGATGACTGGCATGTAGACCAGGTTCTCGTCTCTTCCTGCCCTGTAAACCTCCCTTTTCATGAAAATAGGACTTTGTTGTCCCATTTGTTACTGCTATGGTCATCAGATGGCATCGTAGATATGCCTAGGACATAGTTTATAGCCTTCCTCGTGGTTGTTCAAACAGTTTTCCACCTTTCTATTTAGATGTAAATAGTCTTTATACAGCGACTTGCGTCTGAAGTACCATGGCAGGATAAAGTCAGGAGTCAAGGTTAATATAGTGATGTACCACCATCTGCCACACGAGATTCTCTAAACCTGTTGTTGGTTTGTAGATATAATGGTGTTGACAAGTTTGTTCATTTCTTCTAGGCTAGAAACTTGAAGAAATGACTCTTTTACATCTTTGAGTTGATTGGTTTTTTAACAGTATGTATTGTATCCTTCAGCTCATCAACTTATGTCTTTATGTATACGGCTGGAATCTGCATCAAGAGTATATTATTTTGTGCCTGCACATGAAGTAATATTACATCAAGTTAGTTCAATTCGGTGCCAAGATACTTTAGGAATTACTTTTCCATGATTCTGATGCATTTATTGTCTGAAGCGCCGCCTGGCTCCGTGTACACTAATGAAAAAGCATCGGAGCAAATGATTATACATTTAAGTTTTATAAAGAAAACTTAAATTGAGCTGATATTTTGGGTAGAATTAAACGATAGCTTATGTCAAGGTAGTTAGAAAAAAAAGCAATTGCTTTGATTTGCTAAGCACAATTTCGGGTTATCGTCAGACGGGAGATATAGTTCTATTTGTGTATAGAAAGCATCGCAACACGAGGGCTATCTTGATTTGTACGAGGGGGTGACGTCTGAGAGTAGTTAAGGCAGAGTTGCCGATGTTGTGTTGATGTTCTTTCTTTCTCTTTATATTCTGAAGATCCATGAACATAAATACTGATGGTGCTCTCCTGTTGTTCACAATATGAAACCGCTAGTAAAAAAAGGAACCAATGAACGGGCATCTGAATATGACGATTTGCAAAGAAACAAACCTATTTTGGGATTAAATCAACGAATAAGAAAACAAATTAAGAAAATAATGCTCAATTTTAGGATCAAGATTAATATTTTGATCAACAGTAAAATGCCCTTATCTTGCGAAAATAACAATAAATTTATTCTAAAAAAAACATAAACATGCTCTTTCAAGTCCAATTTTATCTAGTTCATATTTAATCTATAAAGATTTCTTATTGTCTGCGTAGAAATTCTTGCACCAGTGGCATTCTGCAAGTCATTTTGCAGGGCAGTGGCCGAAACAAAACGCTGACGTCGCGCTTCGACGGCAATAAAACGGCCATTGCTCCGAGTTGTGATCCTCCACTACCACCGCCATGCTTATGCCTGACATTTTCGTGAGTTCGAGACCGTTCCCACATCCTTGCAACAGTGCTCTGAGACACCCCGAGGGCATCTGTCACATGGCGTTGGGATCGCCTAGGCGCAAGCATCCCTATCCCCCTGTTCATCTCTTCGCTTCGGCCTCAAGATGCCGTATTATCCGCAAGTAAGCCTTTATCAATCCTAGCTTTGAAGTAGACATTAATACCGTGCACAGATAACGGGTACATGCCGATGGCGCACTCTTTATGGGTATCTGTTTTCCCGTGGATATCAAGCCAAGTACATCTCTTCCGTATAGGTCAGGCATATGCGATTAGAAAAATATACATGTTAAAAAAGTCACTTTGGTTTACAATTAAAAAGATATTAAAGAAATAGTGATTGAGTTGTATATATTACGATAATTATCGAATTTTCTCTGAACATACTACATGTACTTAGATTTACGCTAGCTTGCAGTAGCATTTAGACCAGATGGACAGCAACTTTTATCATCTGCTTTGGCAAGTGAGATCTCTGTAATTCTTGCATATCATACTATAAGAATCTTACACCGGCTGCCGGTACAGACCGGAATATCTAGCTCGAGGGTAACTGTTTACAGCGGTAACGAGGCTCTGCCGAGTTTCCGCTAAACAGTTTCCCGAGAGCTAGATATTCCCGTCTGTACCGACAGCCGGTGTTTGATTCTTTTTCTTGCATATTACATGTCAATTTCTTTTGGAACAGCAATTATGAAAACTGATATTCTCATTACGCACTTTTTTCTTATAGTAGCGTATGAACATACAACTTCATTCATAACGGAAAAATGACGTCATCCTAAGAACGCGATTCATTCATAAAAGTCGCGCGTCAATGACGTCATTTAAAGCACGTACGCGACTTGTCTTACATGGTGGGTGTAAGACAGAGTTTTCTAGCACCGGTGTAAACGGTAGATTATAAGAATCTTACACCGGCTGCCGGTACAGACCGGAATATCTAGCTCGAGGGTAAACTGTTTACAGCGGTAACGAGTTTACAGCTCTCTGCCGAGTTTTCCGCTAAACAGTTACCCGAGAGCTAGATATTCCCGTCTGTACCGACAGCCGGTGTTTGATTCTTTTTCTTGCATATTACATGTCAATTGTTTTAGGAACAGAAATTATGAAAACTGATATTCTCATTACGCACTTTTTTCTTATAGTAGCGTATGAACATCATTCATAACGGAAAAATGACGTCATTCATAAAAGTCGCGCGTCATTGACGTCATTAAGAGCACGCGACTTGTCTTACATGGGGTTTTCTAGCACCGGTGTAAACGGTAGATAATCCTGTCTGAGATGCAAGAAATTCCTTTCTTGCATCTCAGACAGGATTATCTACCGTTTATTCATGTCTAAGATGCAAGAAAGGATTATCTACCGTTTACACCGGTGCTAGAAAACCCTGTCTTACAACCCCATGTAAGACAATTCGCGTGCTTTAAAATGACGTCATTGCTGCGCGCCTTTTATGAATGAATTGCGTTCTTAACGTCACTTAACTGTTATGAATGAAGTTGTACGTTCATACGCTACTATAAGAAAAAGGTGCGTAATGAGAATATTAGTTTTCGTAGTTCTGTTCTGAAAATAATTGATACTTTATATGCAAGAAAAAGAATCAAACACCGGGTAACTGTTTAGCGGAATCTCGGCAGAGCCTCGTTACCGCCGTAAACAGTCACCCTCGAGCTAGTTATTCCGGTCTGTACCGGCAGCCAGTGTAAGATTCTTATATGTTTACAGTACGAGTTTACAGACGTAAGAACACAGTTTGCGAAGCTATATCTCTGGAAACAATGACAAGATTAGGTTGAAGATCTCCTTTTGTTACATCTTTGAACGTTTGGTTTAAAAATGCTCAAAATTTGAAACTGCTACCGTGTAGAATATGCTAAATCTGTCTATTTCTTTACCTCAAACATAAGCTCGTTGCATTCAACAAGGCATGATTGATTAAGTTCTGTTTGGTTTGATTCAACTGTTGTCGTATCCACGAAATGATTGCAGACGGCATGAAGTCATCACAATAGTACAATCTGCAATCGATCTTTTGAAACTCGTAAGTAACATGTGTTTTTTTTCAAAACTAGACAGGAATAATATGTACAATCTGAAATAATCCTTTGTACGTTTCAACGATTATCACATTGATTTGATAAAGTTGAAATAAGCTTATTGTGTTTAAATAAGCAAAAATAGTAACAAAAATACAGAGGTAAAATATATAATTTATTTGTTCAAACTTTCAAATTTAAACCAACTAGTCCCAAGAAAGGCTCATCTGATGAATAAAGGCCTTTTTTCCCTGGGCTGATCTCCAGGCCGATCTTGTTGAACGGGTTATATGGGTAAGTAAGGGTAATCGTCTTTGAAAAGACGCCTCGTCTTGCGAACTTCGGATTCTGATACACAGTGTCAGGAAATTGTCTAGAAATATTATATATATATAAAAACAGGGAGTTCAAGAACTTTGTATATGTCAATTACTGTTTAATTTAGGTTGTTTGGAATATGTATCCTGTTGTTATATTAACTAATAAGGTTTATTTCTAATCATTAATATTAAAGTGTTTTATCCATCGAGATATACGGCTTTCATTACTTTCAGAAACTCCCGGAAATTGGTGAGCGGACATGAACGTTGTCTATATTATAAATACACTTTCTCGGTTTCTTTTCTTATGTCGTAATACTTTGGGTCATTTATGTAAAAACACTTTCATTTTGCATTTTTGAATACAATGTAGAATCCTTTCAATTAATCATATGCACAAATGTATCTAAACGTCTTCAACAAAATAATTAACTTTACATACAAACAAATTTTAAATTAAAAAAAAAGATGTAGTTAGAAAAAAAATCTTTGGTAAAATACTTTTTACTGAATTGATATTTTACCTGTAATACACTGACATGGCGGTGGTTGAAGATCCCAGGGTATTTTTCTTATCGTTTAACTCTGTTTCTGGTGGACATAGGGGATTGTAACCAGCATATCCGGGGCATTTCCTTACACTGAAAATACAGCTGCTCTTATGAATTTGATAAAGTAAATCATAATGTTAGTATGTATTTAGAAGTCAAATCCCGTTTAAGATTAAATTTTGTTTTATTCAAAAGTATTTGTCCAACAACTATTTACATATGACATTCATTCATTCATTCATTCATTCATTCATTCATTCATTCATTCATTCAAGAAATCACGATTAAGTCAAATGAGTCTCAATATGTTGCATTAAACGTGTGATATCGATCAAACGTAAACTCACGTGTATTTTAACTGATCTATTTTGGGGTTTTTTTTATCATATAGTACTTACAATACGTTAGCCAGCCCGTCAGTTTTCACAAGATTCATTATCCGGTTTTGTCGCCCTTCGTCCAAACAATTTGGTAGTTGTCTGGAAAATAAAAAAAGAGAAATGTATTTCCATAAGATACTAATGCCCCAACATTTCACATGTTTTGTTCTTCTACTGACGAACAGCAGGACAGTATGACAGACAGGCAAATAAAGTAAATTCTACTATCTTAATGTTATATCCTAAAGAATGCTTAAAAGAAAATAAGCAAAACCCCAAAGGCATAGCTACACTTGCTGACCAACATTCTTGTAAAGTCTAATGACTCTAGGTCAAATACTTTTGACACAGGACACATGTTGAAAATTGCAAATTTTACTCAGGAAAGGGCAATTATCTACAAATACTGAATAAATGAACAGCCCGGGCGACGCACCAACTCGCCTCTGAGCCGTCGGCGCCGTTCGACCTGTAAAGTTTGATGACTCTAGCATAAGCACAGTTTAGAGCTACATGTGACACAACATGGAGCGCACATACACGCACGCATGTACATGGACGGACAAGGCCGAATCTAAATGCCCCCACCCCCTCCCCCGCCTAGAGTGGGGGTAAAAAGGTCAAACATTATAGCAAAGGATTTATTCATGGTAGATTCCTAAACAAACCGATCACGCCACCGCGGTATCTGCTTCAACCGATCTTTAACACACTAGTGTGTTCGCCTGGTCACCAATCTTACTAAAGAGTTTACTCAAGAACGCGATATATAGCGGTCCCTGATTGGCTGAGTGAAAAAGACACGAGGTGACCTCCTATCGGTGATTGTCAGATTCATTAGCATAGCGTTCATTAGGAGGGGATTTTAATCAGATCGATGGGCTTTCATTGTACACGGGTGTATGTCTGAAGCATCGCAATATAAAGTCGATGAGTGATAGAAAATATACCTTAATTAAACACTTCTTTTACTCGTTTGTTCAAATAACTACAATAAAATCGCACAATTACCGTATGCTCAATATTCTTTCCCTTTGTGGACTCTTGGGTCGGTTTGTTGGAAGTCTTGACTGAAGTCTGTCCCACAACACGGCATCTTGCCATTCCTCAGACCTAGGTTCGTATCTCTTTGCTTGCAGTCTGACCATGTCGGCCTTTGGTTCCAGGGAGGTTGGGGGATCGGGCTTTAAACCATAAAAAAAATTTTTCTTCCAAATATACATGCATATTGTATTGTGTGTGTCAGTGTGTGCTATACATACGGTAATTTTTATTTGATCAATATTTATGTTGCAGAATATGTTTATTGCTCTAAGTTTAACTTTATTTAAAGTGTATAAATTTATATATATCTGCGGCAAAATAGTGTTTGAATTTTAAAAACGAATACTTCCAAAGAAAACTGGAAGTATATTGCCATAAAAGTGAATGGCGCATACATGTTGCTAATCGGTTAAAATCCTACTTAAAATAACAGCATAACATTTTGTTTTCCGGAACATTTTATTCTGTTTACGTACAACATTATTCATGTGTGTTAAATAGCAGTTACAACTTGGAACAAGAGCACCGCTAGGCGGAGTATTATATGCCCGAAAGTGTTTTTTCTTTAGTAAGGATGAAGCATTCGTAAGACATGGGAATTAGCTGTTCATCCTATAAAATTTTACAGCTGTAGGTTGATTAATACTTAAGTTATTGAGCGGAAACTGTTTTCAGTTTTAAGGTAAAAGTGACCTTGACCTTTGACCATGTGACCCAAAAATCAATATGGGTCCTCTACCCAATATGGACAATCATCCTAAAAAACAAAAAATCAATAGGGGTCTTCTATCCAATATGGACAATCATCCTATGAAGTTTTAATATTGTGGGCCAAATGGAACTTAAGTTATGCTTCAGAAAATGTTTTCAGTTTTAAGGTAATAGTGACCTTGACCTTTGACCTTGTGACCTCAAAATCAATAGGGTTCTTTCACCCAATATGCACACTCATCCTATGAAGTTTGAATATTGTGGGCCAAATGGAACTTAAGTTATGTTCCGGAAACTGTTTTCAGTTTTAAGGTAATAGTGACCTTGACCTTTGACCTTGTGACCTCAAAATCAAAAGGGGTCTTCAACCCAATATGGACAATCATCCTATGAAGTTTGAATATTGTGGGCCAAATGGAACTTAAGTTATGCTCCGGAAACTCTTTTCAGTATTAAGGTAATAGTGACCTTGACCTTTGACCTTGTGACCCCAAAATCGATAGGGGTATTCTACCCAATATTGACAATTATCCTATGAAGTTTGAATATTGTGGGCCAAATGGAACTTAAGTTATACTCCGGAAACTGTTTTCAGTTTTAAGGTAATAATGACCTTGACCTTTGACCTTGTGACTCCAAAATCAATAGGGGTCTTCTACCCAATATTGACAATCATCCTATGAAGTTTGAATATTGTGGGCCAAATGGAACTTAAGTTATGCTCCGGAAACCAAATTGCTAACAGACGGACAGACAGACGGGCGGACGCAAGGGGGTATAACATAATATGCCCAAAATACTCTCGGGCATATAAAAATGTTTCATATGATAAGATAGATAACCACATTATATTAGTGTGATGACACGATAATCGCTATAGCATACCACTTACAAATCCCACTCACCCACCCAATCAACACATCCACATGCGCCCCAGGAGCACGCACGCACGCGCGCGCACACACAAACTGAAACATTTTTTACCTTTGGAAGGTGTCTATCACATTCGGCACCAGACTTCTGCGCAATCGAGGTGTATCTATACTTTTTGTGAAGTGTTTCTATTGTTTGCATATCCATTGGTCCAAATTTTGTATCTATCACCTGTAACATAGAAATTATGCCGAACTATTCATTAATAAAGACATGCACTTTTATTTTCATTGAGATTGTCCCATTTTAATTCAGCATATGAAACTCACACACTGACTGAAACAGTAATCATTTTATCCTCTATTCGTATAAGCTTATTAAAGTGTATAAATTAAGTTACATATTTGCTGTCTGTAAATTGTGAAAATATAGTTTATAAATATTATAATTGAAATTATTACAGAATACTTATAGCATGAAAGAAATTTGTTGGTAAATTTTATTGAAAACGAATAGGGCAAGTGTGAAATCATGACCCAGCCTTCTAAAAATATCAGCGGAATATTTTGTTCCTGAACAGTTTATTCTGTTTACATACAATATTCATGTATATTCAAAAGATATAGCCAGTAACAGCAAAAAAAATGAAAATTTCAATGATTTGACCTTCAAGGTCAGGATCATATATGAGAGAAGGTCAATGTCTAATGAACTTGAAGGTATATCCTAAAAGATTGTTGTGTTCAAGTTTGAAGACAAATACATCTATTTTTAATTATCTTTTTTCCCTTTTTATACAGAAAAAAACAACACACACACATTTTATTGTATTACATTTGATTGGTACACTTGTATACAAACCTTGCATGGTTTGGTCGCTGAAACAGGACGTGGTTTGACGGGCAAAGGTGCTTCTGGGGGTCGCGGAACAGTCTGGCTTACTCTTTTCACTCTAACTAATTCATTTTCTCTTTGCCTAGATAATAAGTTATTATGTATTAAAATAAAACATGCATAACGACAACACCACCGTTTGTTTATTTGGTTGTTATATAATTGTTTCTCTCTAAAATGTTTTGTTTCTCTGGAAGTGTTTGAGAGACAATGTCAGCGTCCTTATTTGACATATTTAATCAATGTTTGAATTTAGTTTGAGAAATTCTAAAAATTATATGTGCATGAAACAAATATTCTCATATTGGAACGTTACAAAAAAATGTAGACGGGCATTTATAGATCTACTTTCGATTAACATGCCTGCCTCATCTTTGAATTATAATATAACTGTACGTTACATTAATAATGAAACCATAGGGTTTTAACCAAGGCAACAATAACTCTCATGCTGCAGATAAAAGCATCATCATATTTAAGAATAGATGTTACCTGTTTTGCACTCTAGATTCCACTCTTCGCCCTTGCTGTCCTGTTTGTATGATATAGGGCTCTGAGGGTACCTCACCCCTGTAACACATTCTGTACGTCGACTCCGCTATTCCTGATAACGTGCACATTTGCCCTTATATTACTTTTTTCTAAATATCAGGTTATTTATTTCATAAAAAAACTACGCTCAAACAATTTCCACATTTCAAACAACCTCTGGTTTGATTTATAAATCACATATTTATCTGCTTATCTTACACAATGTTATGTATACAGGAAATGACGTCGTTGACGTCAACAATAAAAAAAATACGCAAAACATGATGAGGTTTTCCGTCAAAATTGTTCCACTTTCTATTATTTCTATTATTAAAATGGTTAAGTATTGTATTAGTAATAATTATTATTATCATTATTATTATTTCTATTTTAAATGTATTCTCAATGAAATAAGTTTCAGATCGCTTGCTATGTATATAATATTACTAACAGTGAGTAAGGGGACGTCATTTTCATAACGCTAGTAAGTCTACATATTCCTACGCCAATCATTTCGCGTTGTTTCGATTGCTCATTTATTAAGCTATATACAAAAATAATTTAAACATTAACTACACGTACGTTTTATTCTAGAATATGTACAGGCTGTTTTAAATGTCAAATGTGGGAGTAACTAAGAAAAGATATACATACTGTTTTTTTCTTTTGGTTACATGTAATTCCACAGAGAATATTGAATGAGTGTAGGTTCAAAACTGGATTTATTGTTAATTATATCATGCAAGCCTTTTGTGTACTGAAGCTACATGAACATGGTATACTATTTAATCATATACCCTAAACAACAAGAGCTCCGATACGGCGGGAAATACACACCCGACGGCAAAATTACAATGAAGTATCGTGGACAAAAATTTGTCTTAAAGAAAGATAGCAAACCTGTTGTTGTAAATGACTCAGATGATAACCTTTCTATCAAATGTATAAGAAAATATTACATTCTAGTTATTTTCTAGGTAACAAGTTAGCATATAAGTAAAAGATAATTGAACATAATGATTTGATTTCATTTTGATTAACAGAAATCAATTTAATACAATTAGTTGACTGCAGAGCAAATTTAAACTTGACAAGTGTTTTGATAATACATACTTGCATGTAAAATATAAACACATTTTAATAAGAGAAATCTTTTTTAAGTTATTCTGTGGAAAGTATTAATTTCACCGACAATTTGCTGAAAAGGGGCATAACTCTTCCAATAATGAGTTGATTGCAATTAAATATGAACATAACTAATGTTTTGAGATAACATATGTGCATGCCAGATATAAAAATAAACAAGTTAGTATGCTGAAACAAATGTCACTTTAAAATTGCTTTAATACGGGGACGTTACTCTAATAAGTTGCTTGCAGATTTAACATACATGTACTTACTACATGCGAAGACCAATTGTCTACAGACAGACGAACGGACAACGCCATATCAATACATCCCGGCGGTTTATAAAAACTGTATTAAGTGACAAAGAATTATTTTTTATATATACGTCACTTCAACAATGTAAAGGTCACATGGCGCCTTTCCAGCTTTACTAGTGGAGGAAAAACTCTCGTTCCCCTCGTGCAAAAATATCTGAAGCCAGTTCTGATAAAAAGGGATTAAATTATAACAAACTATCTTTCATGGTTATCAAACATAAAACGCACAGTTCCATTGTAATATTGCATGGAAATTTCATGTTCACTTACTCTACTTGTCCCTGAGTCAGTTTCAGCACGTAAAGAAATCAATAACTTGACCTTGAAAGTCAAGGTCATTTATGACTCAACATCAATGTAAATCTGACCAACCTAAAAGTCTATCCTCAAGGATTGCTGTGTCAACATACGTGGATAATTCATTCATAAATAACTATGCTATAGCCACTTGAGACAGACAGTTGCATCATGATATTGCTTTGATGTGCCAAGGTTCAAGTTAATATCTCTACCGATTTTCCAAAAATGGGACAAAGTGATACATATATAGCCCCCACCCACCATTTTGTACATATAAATCTAAATAATAATGGTCAATGTTATTTTTTTCTTTGAAAAAGATGAGCTAAAATGATACACTGTTGAAATATGGAAAAAGGGCAATATGCGAGTCTGACCGACAGTGTGGGTTTCCTCCAGCAAACTGCACAGTGCCGAGTTTACCTTAAAGTCTCTTGAGCCTACAGAACAGGTGGATATAATATTTCTGTGCAGGACAGACAGACCAAATTATATACAAGCTCTCAGGGATCATAATAAATCTCCATTATGGCCGTGACATATGAACAGTATATTTAAAACTTACAAATAGACTGACATGTCGGATAGAGACAGAGAAATAATATCACCACACAGTTGCTAGAGGAGAATATTTTATTGAATCTGCTACATAAATAACTGACAACAATGTGTATATATATGGTAATCATAAAACAAACATACAGATAGGCCTAAATAAAACAAAAAACGTATACAAATATATAGTGAATTCTTGTTCAATTTTATTTCTATGCGAGTATAAAAGTTAAACAAAACAAGCATGTATCTTAAAAATATTTGCTTCTTGGACATGACTTTGTTTTCTTCAATAAAATTAGAGTGATACTTAGAAATTTATTTGTTCAAAAATTCATATCAAAATAACTAAAGTTTTAATTACAAAAAAATTTCTTGTTATTAAATGTAAAATAATCTGTTTGTTTGTGAGATACTGAGAAAGTTAGAAATAACCTTAGCATGAGTTCTTTACCTTGGTGTACAATCATTTTTAATTACTACCCCTCACTATTTTTGTAGTGTTAATTTCCCATAGGCCAACTGAAGTTATTTTTACTTTTTATTTAAGTGTAGAGTACCATGTGACTAAAAATTTACTGTTACAAAAGTAACAGTCCTTTTTCATAGTAAAAATCTGAAAAAATATACACCTATAGAAACAGTGTCCCAACGAGGTATCTATTTCAGGTAATAAAATAAATAACACATAGGTTTATAACAACAAAAATATCATCCCTCGTAAAAATACTGTTTTCCTTGCGATAATATTTTAATGTTACTCACAAAACTATGTGTAATTTATACACTGTATGATTTGTAAATAAAATCATGTTCTGAGACTTTTGATCAATGAGCTAATTCTAAAATAAAATGCTACTTTAAATGCATGAAAACACATATATAGAAAAAAAAATCTGAAAAAAAGAAATTTATAATTTTCAAAATTGCACGTAGTAATGTTTTAAGATTCTAACTGTAAAAAAATATATACATTTGCAATGATTTTGTCTTGTAAAAAAAGGGTAGAAAAGTAAAATACATTTTTGTATATAAAGACTGCAGTAAATAAACTTAACATTATAAATACAAATATTTATAACTAATAATTGCTAACATATATAGTAAACATGGTCAATAGACAACTTTAAATATTCATGTTTTGTATAAATACGTCATATTTTAATAGATTTAAAAGGAAAAATGCCACATTAAATAGATTTTTTTTTATTACGTAGATATATTATGATAAATTTATATATTTAATCACATCAGTTGTAGACAAAATCCCTGACCTACAAACTATAATTTGGTCCACCATGTTTTGATTAACAAAAACATCTCAGTAATAGAGGATATTGAATGAGTGTAGGTTCAATAATTAATTTAATGAACAAGTTGAATAAAAATTTTATTATGCATGCCACTGGTGAGCATATGAGCCGCATCACGACAAAACTAACATAATGCGTTTGCGACCAGCATGGATCCAGACCAGCCTGCGCATCCACGCAGTCTGATCAGAATCCATGCTGTTAGCTTACCGACTCTATTACAAGTAGAGAAACTGATAGCCAACAGCATGGATCCATGCTGGTCGCAAACCCACTATGTTGGTTTTGTCATGACACGGCTCATATTATTTTTTTGAACCAGTTCAATAAATTCAGTGATGAACCTACACAAATGTAATATTCTATTACATTTTGCTTGTACAACGTAAACAACATCGGGTCAAAAAAACAGTCTAATAAATTGCAAAATTGGCAAGTACATGTATGTGATAAACATTGTTATGTATACCATATGAAAGAAAAAAAACCTTTCTTGTATGAAAGAAAAAAAAACCTTTCTTGAAAAAAAAACCAGAATCATCTTTAAATTAAATTTCAACAACCATTCTACTTACATTGTTAGTATACAACAAGATATACCTATTACACCAGACAAATAGATCTATTACCTATATATGCTCTACTATCATGTAAATAAGACAACAATAACTGGTGGGTGATAAAATTTATCATATTTTTTTATGTAATATCATTTTTAATACAATAATTGACATGGAGATATATCATGTATAGTGAACAAAAACAAAAGACAAAGTACAGGAATATTAACAAATGGTTTTCCTTTGCAATTCCATTTGATTTCTTTAACAATGAAAATTTCTAAAACTAAAATTTGGGTAGATCTACCAGTCTCATATTCGAAAATCTGATTTGTTGAAAAATATTTTTATTTAAAAAATGGTTGACTGCAGTTTGAGACTGGTTCCCAAATTCTTGCTCTATAACATTGTATGATGTAGCTGTTTTACTGGTCCCGGCTCCACCATGAGGCAGGTATTGCCACAGATCTTGGCTGACCAGGGTTGTCAGTATTGTCAGTCAAACTCTTCTTGAAAGCTTGGCCAGCAGATGAACCCGCATGTCTGTAACAAAAAACAGGTAATGTGAAGGATACATGTATGCATTCATTTTGGGTTTTAAAAAAGTAAGTGCCTGTTGATTCTCTACAAAGTTCTAGAGTGTTATTCCAAATGTAACAGTTATTTTCTCCAACAAAACAACTCAAACATCAGCATTTAAGGACATTAGGCATATTGCCATTAACTAGTAAAATATTTGCACCTGCCTGGAGATTTAACTTTTCAAACACCAAACACCTTTCCTGCTGTCAAAACATGCATCACAAGGCATTAACTGAACTCCTTATCTTTAAAGATTAATTTTTTAAAGGTCAAAAAATAACTAAAATTTATTTTATGAGAGCATATGTTTACAGGTAAACAAAGCTTGTCAAAAAAAACATCAATGATGAAAAGCATGAAATAAAATGTTTTATCACATAAACCGCGGCGCAGGAGTGTAATAAAGCCATTTAATAAAAGCGATATTACACTAGACGATATTACACTAGTGTAATAACACTTTGACGTCACGTCATTTGCGCTATAAACATAGCGTTAAAGCGCGCTAATGTTAGCGTTACACTATAGGCGCGTCAAAGAAAAATGACTCTTGATAACAGTTTACTGTTCTTATTTTATATATGTGATAAATAGTATATTACATTTGTGTAGATTCAATACTAAATTCATTGAACTCGTTGAATAAAACAATATTATGCTCGCCAGAGGCTCGCATAATATGATTTTATTCAACTCGTTCAATAAATTTAGTATTTAACCTACACTCATTCAATATCCTCTATTTTCAACAGGTTACAGTATGATAAAAGATAATGTTTCAGTAAACTTACTTTGTCTGGTTATCATCACTAGTCCACACCTCATACATGGTGAACTTGTTCGAGTCCTTGAAGCTTCTTACAGTCACACTGTAATATCAACATAATAATTAACATTATAGTAATTAATGTGTGAATAATCATGCTGTATCACAACATGTATATATAATTGTTCCCTCAATCTCTTCTCACATATGAAATATAATTAAAATGACCTTAAAAACCAAAAGACCTTGTTAAAACGCCTGTGACACATCATTTATAGGGTTTTCTGAATTTTAAGGGCAAAGTTTATCTAAGCAAGTTTGGCTTATGTTATGGTTACAGGAAGGTGTAAGCATGCAAAGCAAATACTTGGTTTAAGTCATTATTTTCACCTGGATAGAATGGTGATTTTGTAAAGGTACATGTTATATATCTAGACTAAGATATATTTACTATCATGTATTTATAAAAACTTACTTCAAGCATCCAGGAGCAGCATTGGTTGCCTCTATGTAATCCCTCATGCTTGTCTTGAAGGACTGTTCCTGTCCAGATTTTATTGCCATGTCTAGTTGATACAGAATCACCTAAGAAAATACAAAATACTAGAATACAACTTGTATGAACACTAAACACTGAAGGCTATATAAACTACAGTGTCTGAATCTCATCTCTTAACATGCCATGCAATCCCCTTGTCCCTTGTCATTCAATCTGAATACAATATATATTTCTATACCCCTTATTCTTTTAGAATAAAAGGACTAATAGTGAGCTTGGAATTCAGTAATACTAGAATTGTTTTTTTCATAAAGGTGGTCCGGGGCCCTACAGAGGGGAAAGAAATGTGCCAGCATATCAAAGTTGTATCTTTCTACTTTATTTTGCAATTATAATGTAAGCTTTTACTACATTTTATTCCTATTCAATGATATTTTATTGCATAAATATAATACATAATACAATAAAATAGTTTATCACACACCCGTGCCGATTTTGCGACTACGTGAAAATGGTATACGGCCGTGCATATACTTTGACGTGACGTCATTAGCATTATACAAACATAGTGTAAAGAAGCTCCAAATGTTAGCGTTATACTATTGGCGGGTCAATGAAAAATGACTCTTATTTCACTTTAAACGGTCTTTATTTTGGGTATGTGATAAATAGTATATTTAATTTGTGTAAGTTCATTACTGAATTTATTGCACTCGTTGAATTAAATAATATTATGCTCGCCAGAGGCTCGCATAATATAATTTTATTCAACTCATGCATTAAATTCAGGATTGAACTTACACTCATTCAATATCCTCTGTATCTTAGAATGGTTTCATTAAAATTAAAAAAAAAACAATTATGACTAAAGTCAGGGAAAAATACATACTTCATGCAGAGAGGGTTGCATCCCCCCCCCCCCTTTCCCAATTTTGACATATACATGTATATTTTAAGTTTTTAACCAAAACAAAACCACTGTACTACAATGTATATAATTCATAATAGTTTTCTCAATTACTAATAATAATAACAAGAGGGCCATGATGGCCCTGAGGTCGCTCACCTGTATATAGGCCCCCCCCCCCCAACCCCCACTCCCCCAACGTTGCAGAGCCAATTTAACCCAAGGGCTTTTATTTGCACAAACTTGGTAGACACCCATAAGAAGATGTTTCATGCTAAACATTTAAGTTCTAGCTCATTGGGCTTTTTAAAAGAAGATTTTTTTTAGTTTTTACTATACACATATAGTTAAAAACAATGACACCCTTGGGGCCGGGCCAGTTTTGACCCCAGGGCTTTTATTTGAACAAACTTTGTAGACACTTACTAGAAGATGTTTCATGCTTAATATCTAAACTCTAGCTATTTGGGTTTTTTCAAAGAAGATATAAAGTTTTTGCTAAACACATATAAAGAAAATCAATGACCCCCGGGGCGGGGCCAATTTTCACCCCTGGGCTTGTATTTGAACAAACTTGGTAGACACCTATTAGAACATGTTTGATGCTCAATATCTTAGCCATAGATCTTTGAGTTCTTTAAAAGAAGATTTTTTAAGTTTTTACTATATGCATATAGGGAAAATCAATGACCCCCCGGGGCGGGGCCAATTTTCACCCCAGGGCTTTTATTTGAACAAACTTGGTAGACACCCATTAGAAGATGTTTCATGCTAAATATCTTAGATCTAGCTCTTTGGGTTCTTTAAAAGAAGATTTTTCAAGTTTTTACTATATGCATATAGGGAAAATCAATGACACCCCGGGGCGGGGCCAATTTTGACCCCAGGGCTTTTATTTGAACAAACTTGGTAGACACACACTAGAAGATGTTTCATGCCAAATATCTAAGCTCTAGCTGTTTGAGTCCTTTAAAAGAAGATTTTTAAGTTTTTACTATATGCATATAGGGAAAATCAATGACCCCCGGGGCGGGGCCAATTTTCACCCCAAGGCTTTTATTTGAAGAAACTTGGTAGACACCCATTAGAACATGTTTCATGCTAAATATCTTAGCTCTAGCTCTATTAGTTCTTTAAAAGAAGATTTTTTAAGTTTTTACTATATGCATATAGGGAAAATCAATGACCCCCGGGGCGGGGCCAATTTTGACCAAAGGGCTTTTATTTGAACAAACTTGGTAGACACTCACTAAAAGATGTTTCATGCCAAATATCTAAGCTCTAGCTCTTTGAGTTCTTTAAAAGAAGTTTTTTAAGTTTTTACTATATGCATATAGGGAAAATCAATGACCCCCGGGGCGGGGCCAATTTTGACCCCAGGGCTTTTATTTGAACAAACTTGGTAGACACCAATTAGAACATGTTTCATGCTAAATATCTTAGCTCTAGCTCTTTGGGTTCTTTAAAAGAAGATTTTTTAAGTTTTTACTATATGCATATAGGGATAATCAATGACCCCCCGGGGCGGGACCAATTTTGACCCCAGGGCTTTTATTTGAACAAACTTGGTAGACACTCACTAGAAGATGTTTCATGCCAAATATCTAAGCTCTAGCTCTTATGGTTTTTTAAAAGAAGATATTTAAAGTTTTTTCTTTCGGTTGCCATGGCAACCAGAGTTTTGCATGGAATTAAATTCTTTGAACAATTTTTAAAGGTGACCACCAAAGAAACATTCCTGTGAAGTTTGGATGAAATTGGCTTAGTGGTTTATAAGGAGATGTCATTTAAAGTAAAAGTTTACGGACGGACGGACGGATGGACGGACGACGGACGGACGCCGGACGAAAAGCGATCACAAAAGCTCACCCTGTCACTTTGTGACAGGTGAGCTAAAAATTAATATAAAAATAATAAGATAACTTAGTAGTAAATTGCTATAAACATTATTAAGAATTTTTATTTAGATATCACCATTACTTTTATTAATAAAAGAAAAGAAATATCATTCTATCTTGTCTAAAGTTGTATTAATTTTATTCTCACTTTAGGCAGTGCATAGAGGCTGGGTTTTTAAGAGTAATATAGTTTGATAGTTTAATTTATATATCACCTTCTTATCTTCCGTTACATCCACTTCTTCATCTACAATACCATCAAAATTTACCTGGAAACATATGTCACAATATATATATATCACTAAAATCTACAAAACTTTCAATCTGACAATCAAGTCTTTTTTAACATTTATTACATAATAAAAAATATTCTATAAAATAAAAGTTTGGATATGTTTTATATAAAGTTAATTCAGTAACAACTTCATAATAAATAATCTTGTTTGAAATCAGACATGCTAGTTTGCTACTCTGGTTTTTACTCTGATTTCAACATAATTTTGGTCACATCTATGTGGCTGTCCCATCTAATGGTCTTTCCTGGATACCTAACCAGTAACTTTCAATTTCTAAGCAAGTGACTGACTACTTATTCCATGATATGTTTTCTGAATCAGCAGTGAGACACAATGACCTTTAGATGATCAGTTGTCAAACTTTTCACCTCTCCAAAGGATTGAACCAGTGACCCCGGATTAAAATATCTGTTGCTCTCCCTACTGAGCTAAAAAGTTGGCATTTACTAGGACTGTTACTATCTGTCAGGATTAAATAATTCTATAAACACAACATATAAGGAAATATACTGTTGTAACAGCCATGTATTTATAAGCTTGTTTTCAAGGAGAATTTTATGTGTGTTGTCATGGCAATAGATTTACGTGTATTGTCATGCCACACACATTTACATTAAACCTGTCACAGGGATGTTACACAACTCACTACTAACTTGATTTGTATCATTTTCTGGACTTTTTCCATTTAAGTCTATATGAAATGAAAATATTTGTAAGATCCTATCAAAATATGCTTCTGTACCTGTTATTAACTATAAATGATCATACCCTTTTCTCTAGCCTGTCAAGGAGTGAGCTCAGTCTATCCACCTGGGAGTTTAGAGCAGCCTGGGTGCTACCGAGGGCCTGCTGTCCTTTAAATGTATAAAAAAAAAAAAATAATGATGAAAAATATCATGTGACAAAATTATATGCTCCGAAATTACATCAAATAGGCAGAATTCTAATACAACAAGTATTTTATGTTACCATTAACTATAGATTATAGTTGAACTACAATGTTTCAAAAGCTTCACTTCTCATCACAAAACTTAAAGCCAAGTCAAAAGTTAATGCAGAGTAAAAATGCAAAGCTTCATAATAATTATATACATCAACCATATTGTAATAAGTATGAAAACAATTGAGATGTGTTGTTCTTACATGCAGAAATTATTAGAATTAAGTATAAAGTATTAGGGAGTTCCTTGTTCGTGCACAGTTAGATGTATATGTATTAATTAATTGCTATTTATAATGTGCATATATAAGTACAGTTAGGTTAGCAATTATATACGGGTAGGTAAGAAAACTCTGGAATTAGAGAAAAGTCAGAAACTGTCGTATCTTATTCCAACAATTTTAACAGATGTTAAATTTATTTTTATTGTCATATTTTATTCCAATGTTGTTTTTTTTATCAAAACTCATACAGTTCATTGATCACATTTATCTAAGACTTGCACCTTGTTAAATTTATAAATGTAAAATATGATAATAATTAAAGGATACTTCTAGATTTTATTTTGTTTTTATTATTTTTACATAAGGCTTATTGTATCACAGTTTGGGGACCTTTCTGTTGAAAATGTGTCAGAGTTAAATCGTATACATATACATGCACATTGCGTTAACTTGATTGCAGGTATTAGCTACCCGCACTCCAGAGCATGCCCATTGATTGGTTCATTTTGTCTGGGGTTTACATATTATTGTGACGACAGAGAAAGGGATAGCGAAAGAAATATCATATTCAGATGCTCTTCATTGGTTACTTTTTTCTGGGGTTTCATATTGTGACATCAGGGAACGTGTTTTTATTTTTGACTATGATACAAAAGAGAAAGAACATCAAAACACTCGGCAATCAGATTTATACTTGGAGGCTACGCCCCCTCGTACAAATCAGATAGCCTCGTGTTTCGATGCTCTTTCTATTACTTAGATTTTAATCTGATGTATAACTAACATTGAATCTTTCAACTATATATTATACAAATTAAATAAGAAAAATAACATTAAATTCAAGATATCAGATTATAAATGCAAGTTGTGGTATAAATTTGAAATCATGATTACACACTCAAAGAAAAAAAAGGAAGACATGTTTAAAATATTTGTCCAAAAAAATCAAAACCAAAATTAACTGACGGATACACAGTACCGTCTTATTGTATAAATGAATAGTTTCCACACAAAAAAATATATATGAAGAGCAAGATAAAACAGGATGAAATTTGAGCAATAATGAAAGATTTTACTAAAAAAACATCAAAATACATGCAAAATATAAATCAGTTTATAAGTGTGAAAACTGGTGAAAGTCAAAGCAGTGAATTTTCTTTCAATAAAGCCATTCAAGACAAGTTTGTATAGGCAAGATAAACGATTAAACCAGTTATAACAACACATGATGCTACACAATACTGCTTTAACAAAGGTTAATAAACATTGCCAAAACTATGAAGAAACTAGCCTCAATGACTTCAACACATCAACCTAAAACCTACAAATGGTAGAGATTCTATGTAAAGTGCAAATGCACTAAGATACATGTACCAAAGGTATAAGATATCAGTCAAAAAACATGAATATACCATTAGACACATTGATCATGATGTGACAGAAGTATTATGTAGTTATACAAGGAAAGCAATACTGACAAATGCTCAACCAATATGCTTGGGTTGCAGTATCATGTGGGCATTCAAAGAATCATTTAACTCCAATGTTCTCGAAAAAATATATACATGTACAAAACATACAAGAACTGATTATCAAATAATTATTTGATAATGTCAAGCTGACACAGAATTGAAAATAAAAATAAAATAGATGAAGTATTTTTTAACCAAAAAGTTTTTCAGGGAGAAAAACTCAACTTCTTCTCTCTAATGGAAATCAAATAAATTATCTTATTTCAAAAAATATATGTTATTCTGTTAGAAAAGATTACATATTATATTGTTAGGTAAAGTGTAGGTGAGAAAATTAAAGGATTGTAATAAATAGGAAGAAACTGTAAGAGAAAAGTCAACTAATTAGTTAATACTAAATACTAAAACACTCCACCACTGAGCTATATGTGGAAATGGTGATAACAGCTTACCTTCCTCTAGTGAGTGAAAAAATCAAATGAATAAATAATTTACATAAACACAAACACACACAATAATAAAACAAGCAAATTTATTGAATTGATATACCCTGCAGAATGATACAAATCACTCAATGGAGGCTCCTTATTATTACACATATGTACCTCAGAGCATTATTATGATACAAAGTCCACAAAAAATGAGCTGTGTTCAGCAAAAGGAGATTCATTAAAAATACAATGACATTTTAAAATATTATTTGGCATTATTTAATGTCACTTGGTCATTCATACAAAGTTGGTCATCTAAGAATTCCAGTTTAAGGATTCAAATGTGATGAAAGCATTTTTCTGCTCAAATTATCAAGCATGACTATTGTGAAGATTCAATCCATTCCCTTCATTAGTTTTGGAGATACCAACTTCCAGGCAAAAACTTAGCCAAAATTTTCAGGTGAAAAAGGGAGATAAATATGCAAATAAGAAAATCAGAGCTTTGTCAGATAATCACAAGAGAACAAGTGTGTGAAGTTTCAACCTCATTCAGTAGTTTTTGAGGTACCAACTTGCATGCAAAAAAACTTAACTAAAGTGTGATGCAGACGTCTGGGTGAGTACAATAGCTCTCCATATTCTTTGAATAGTCAAACTAAAAGCATTGCCTTTTTGACAGTAGAATTCAGTTTTGACGTATATTTAGGATTTAACACTTGTGCCGGAATGATAACAGTTGGTAATGTTCTTGTTTGAATAAGCAGACTTGTATAAGATAATGACTAAGATAGGTGACTTTAACACACTGTCACTCCTCACACAATGAGTGAAATTTATAAGTTAAGATTTTTTAACCTGGTAGCTTAGTTTGAAACATTTGGCATATTTGGTTCTTTTACCAGTAAGGAAGTAAAGTTACAGGCAGTGTCTATTCTAGGAATTCAAAAATAGGGGTGATTTTCCCCCCTCTATTTCAAAAAAGGGGGCGATTTTCAAAATCAAGGGGTGCCAATATAAACTGCTAATATTAAATCGTCTGCATTAAGTTTACACTGAGACTTTCAATCGACGAAATAATTAAAACGAAAATATTTATTTAAGACAGCAGAAGTTGTCCCCCCTTAATTTTTAAATGAAAACAGATTATTATAGAACTGTCGCAATTGATTATAAAGGGTATGACAATACAAACAATCGACCTATCTTTCACGTCTAGATCGTAGCCAAGCTAGGAATTGCCTCATTTTTCTTGATTATTTACTACACTAAAATGGCGCCCAACTGTCAGACATAGCACACTAGTTCCGGTCAGTCAGACATAGCACACTAGTTCCGGTCGGTACGGAACATTCCGTTAATTTCTGTCAACTCAAGTAACCAGTACCATACGGTACTAAATTATTATAATTAGCTTACAGTTAACTCCCTTTGGTTTCCGGTGTAAATGTAAACAAAACAACCAAATATAATGAGGGATGGAAGTTTTACGATTTTATTAACTTTTTTATAGATGCGCGATTTTCACGCACATGATTATGAATTGTGCGCGATCTGTGAAATACTAGCGTGAATTGCGCAATCGCGCGACCTAGAATAGACACTGTACAGGTATTACTGTAGATGTATATTTAAAACAAAAGCTGTTGGAGAAGCTGCAAACACAACCTTTCTCAGTGCTGGATAGAAGATTTTGACCTTTGACCCAAAATGCAAGGGCTGACTTATCAAGGTGCACCTACATACAAATTTTGAAGTTCTTAGGTCAAAGTACTTTGATTTAATGACTAATATCATGTTTTGCTACTTTAGGTACCAGTGAACTTTTGACCTGATAATATGTGTGGCAGAAACTAAAATAAACTTTCTAACATATATAAAACAAAACATTCAACATTCATAATAACCTATCTTAACTATAAGGGTACCTCTTCTTGATTTACTATCAAGTAGATTTTCAAATAAAATATATCTCATCTACAAATAGGTCTACAAGGGAAGTATCATTTCAAATGAGAATACCTTCGTAACTATTCTGTGAACTAGTCTGTCTCTTTGCTCGTCTAACAACACGACCTGGGACTATAGATTGTTCCTTAGATTTCTCTCTTACATCTTCTACCTGCACTGGTACAATGTCAGTTCTGAAGTACATAGTACATAATATTATGTTAAATGTTACTATATTAAGAGCATATACAGTTACATGAATACATCATGTACTTGCAAATTGAATAAAATCACTGCATGAAACAGCATAAATCTGCTCATACAGTCTTCAAAATTTATATTGCTAATTAAAATCTACATGTAAACATAAAGAAAGGTATTATAAATAGTATCTATTATCTTTTGACCTTTTTAAATAAACTGTTATGGGTGTTTTGTAACGTTTTATTGCAATATTCAGATATAATCAAGTTTCCAAGATACAGTCTAGAAGCATTTTGTACCAGAAACAGCTTCTATGATCATATCATGCCTATCAAATTTAGCTATCTGTGCATTTTTATGTCCTGTATTCTTATAACATACAGTTTCTTAAATATTGAATATTTTTTTCTAATTTTATATTACTGTGAAACCTCTGTAATGTGACCCTTTATAGAGCAATGACCCCTCTAAAACAACATATTTCCAAAAGTAAGACCTCACAATATACTTTACCTCTTAGAACAATGCCTCACAAAAACAGACAAAAATCTTGGTCTTCTAAAGGGTGTTGCTCTGATTCTTTAGAGGTTGATCATTTAAATGTGGAAAGCTAAAGTAGAATAAGATCTACTTTATATGTCATGATTTTAATAAAAGCTTTTATCTGCTGTTTCAAAGAGAAATAATCTTCGATCCTTGACTAAAATCACTTACAATACATGTATACAATATAACAAACCTTTCATTCTTGGCCTGCTCATCAAGTGCCTCTGTTGCAGAGTCTAATGGTCTTTGTAGAGCACAAACTTGGTCCATAACTAGGCCCATCAGAAACCTTGATATAAACTGGTCAGAGCGGCTCTTCTCCGGATATGTCTTTGATGTGGACAAGAGCATATTGCTCACTTTGGTGTTCAGATCTTCTACGAGACTTAGGATTTCTTTAAATTGTCCAAGATGTTTTGAGAAATAGTCACACAATTCCTTTGGATCTATGTAGCTGTAAAATACGAAAAATAACCACTGATATAAAAAGTGCTTTGAAAAATTTAACTTGAAAGAATTGACAATGTTTTCTTTATTGGAATGGAACTGATATAACATGTAAGTTGTAGCATAAAGTAAAACGCCAAAATACAAAATGTCCTACATCTAATATAACTAATTAAAAGCATATGCAATTTTATTTACATCAAAGTAAACATACTTCACAATGCGCAACAACTATCCTTTTACAAGCAATCATTCACACTTCCAACCTCTAAAATTCTCAACACAAGCAAGAATAATTTACTATTTATTTAAATCTTATCAGCAGTATTATGCAGTGTTTCTTTAGCATTTCTATTAAACAGAACCTACTTTAGAGCAAGAAAATTATTCCAGTCTTAAAAAAATGTATGATGCTGACTTTACTTGTGAATGTTAGAAATTACTTTACCTAGTATCTCACAAGTACAAGGAACTTACCTGGTCATATAAATACCAGGATGTGTTTGGTCTTATAAGTGCCACAACTTACTTGGTCTTCCAAGTGCAAGGATTTGCTTGGTCTTATAAATGCCATGACTTACTTGTTCTTACAGATACAAGCAATTACTTGGTCTTATATCTGCCAACAATTCCTCAATCCTATTAGTTCCATACATTACGTGTTACTTGGTCTTATAAGAATTAGGACTATCTTGAAGTTCAAAGACTTGTTTTGTCTCATAAGTGCCAGAACTTCCTTGGTCTTACAAGTGCCAAAACTTACTTGATTTATAAGTTCCAGGACTTACTTCATTTTATAAGAACAAGGTCTTACTAGGTCTTATAAGTTCCAGGACTTACTTGGTCTTATGGGTGTCTATCTCTTCAAAAAGTTTCCTCAACTCTTCTTTACTCATCACTCCGTCAGCAAAGAATGCAACAAACTCCTCCCATGATATCTTCCCATCATCTAAAATACATCCAATTTATCTTATTCATAAGTTACAGACATGAGCCAACCATAAATGACATAAGTGTATGCATGTATCATCATTCAAGACATCTGAACATTTGTCAAGATCACAATACAATTTTCTACAGTGACCAACTCATTCTATAGTGATCAATGATTTTCAGAAAATCACTTCCATGTGCATTCAAATTACTTATTTCAATTTAGGAGTATTTTTCTTATCTAGAAATGTGTCTATAGGACACTGATGTCCCCACTGTTAAGTTATTTCTATAGACAGACAGTGTGTAATGTGACAGCAACACTAAATGCCTTCTCTAAATCAGTGAAGATGGGGATTTAAAGTGATTATACCTAAACAGTTTAGTTAAGCTATATAGATAATTTGCCACAATCCATTTAAAGTATAATCTAAACACGTGGTATAACAACAGCTGTCAGTAGGATAGCATGCTCAATATTCACAGTCCTTGATAGTAAGACAAGAGTCTGGATTATATAGAATTTTATGAGTTCAAAAAGGGTCATAATTCTGTCAAAATTCAGGTTAGAGTTATTGGGTCTCAAATAAGTGTGCAAAGTTTCAACCCATTCTCTTCAGTACTTGCACACAAAAACTAAAACGAAGTATAACACTGAAGCCAACACCAGAATGAGTACCAAAGCTCTCCCTGTTCTTTCGAAAAGTCAAACTTAAAACTAAACCAAGTCATATTTTGTACTTAAGTGATATGAATACATTTTGATTGGCGAATGTACACACCTTTCTTGTCTGCTCTCCTGAACACCTGAAATATAAAAAAAAGTTTTCTCATGTACTGTATATCAAAAATAAATCAACCAACATCCTAGATTAAAAACCAAACTACTTGAAATTTTTAACTTATCGGTTCTTGAGATTGTTACTTAGTTTTTACTTTAATACCATATTTGCAATGTTCCAGAATATCATTTTAGAGAAGTCCCAGGAATTTCTCAACTAAGACAAGTTATTGCAATAGGTCAGCACTGTCTTTTTCTCTACATTGATGGTCACACTAATTTAAAGAAAGACGATCATTTTTACATTTAGCCAAGTTATTACAAGTTTGCTTCTTTAAAAAGAAGCATGCAAGAGGTCTTTTTGCAGCTGTGAAAGATTTGTTTAATTCGAAAATATTTCGAGATATTTTTGCATAAAAGGCACAATTAATGTTTATACATTACAATTATTTAACAAAGTAGAATTTATTATATATACAGTATTGAATATAGTATCATAATGAAAGTTTGTTTTACTCTTCATTTTTTTAACGTTTTGAAAGATTATATGCCAGAGAAATGGACATTTTCTTGGCGCATCAGGGATATTTTTCTACAAAAGGAACAATTAAGTTATGTTATCAAATTAACATTAAAATAAATGATATATATTAAAAGTAGTATAAAAAAAATTCTTGTAAATTTCAATAATCAAATTTTCAACTAGACCTATCACTGAAGGTGATTAATACCCCCACCAGCAACTTTGACTTTTTGAAAAATAAGTAGTCTGAAGGAAAATTTGAACACAAACTATCAACTGTGTACAAAGACATATTTCAATTAATTGTAATCCCAACTGTGGTCTCCAAATAAGCTTGCTTTTAACAAAGTTTGATTACAATATCTCATTCCTAACTCTAGTTATTGTCCGGAAACCATTTTTCTATTTTAAGTAACACTGTAACAGTGACCTTGACCCTAGGGGGTCCAAATGCAATAAAAAATCAGGTCTTAATATAAGCTTCCTATACACCAAATTCGATTACAATATCTCATTCCTAACTCAAGTTATTGTCCGGAAGCCATTTTTCTATTTTTAGTAACGGTGACCTTGACCCCAGGGGGTTCAAATGCAATACCAACCCGGGTCTTCATATAAGCTTGCTATATGCAAAGTTTGATAACAATATCTCATTCCGAACTCTAGTTATTGTCCAGAAACCATTTTTCAATTTTTAGTAATGGTGACCTTGACCTAGATCCAAATGCAATACCAACCCAGGTCTTCATATAAGCTTGCTATACACCAAGTTTGATTACAATATCTCATTCCTAACTAAAGATATTGTCCACAAACTATTTTTCTATTTTTAGTAACAGTGACCTTGACCTTGACCCCAGGGGGTCCAAATGCAATAACAACCCAGGTCTTCATATAAGCTTGCTATACACCAAGTTTGATTACAATATCTCATTCCTAACTCAAGTTATTGTCCGGAAACCATTTTTCTATTTTTAGTAACGGTGACCTTGACCCCAGGGGATCCAAATGCTATACCAACCAGAGTTTCCACATAAGGTTGCTATATACCAAGTTTGATTACAATACCTCATTCCAAACTCTAGTTATCGTCCGTAAACCATGATGTGGACCGACCGACCAACAAGCTGACTCCTATATACCCCCCCTAAACTTCGTTTGTGGGGGTATAATTAACGTTTTGGAAAGTATATGGAAACTTTTCCTCTGCATAGAGATTTTCCAAAATGGCATAAAGTATGTTAATAAAACAATTTTAAGTCCCAGATTTACAAATAAAAAAAATATATATATCATTTGATTGGAATATAGCTGCATGCCTTAACTAAAATATTTCAAGAAAATCAAACTTGAGCAAAATTTGATCCATCTGCGCCAAAATATCTCTGTTGAGTAATTTAGTCATACCGGTTCAAAAGTTAAAGGAGAAGCAAAATTTCAGTACTCAGTTTATATAACAGTGCATGTTGATATTGTAGTTATAATGTCCACTGTTACTATTTTTCGGAACATAAAATAAAAAAAAAACGCTATTCAGAAAACAATAATCGATTCGTACAGTTTAAAGGATTAAAAACAGAATAACAATTGCTCGTAGTGTTAAGTAACATAAATGATATTTTCCGCTTTTTCCTTGTACCAATTTGTTCACTTCAATGTTAATTTTTCATTTAAATTAAGTCATATTTTGAAGTGGAGCATGCACATAACAATTTTGGTAGACTGGTTCTAATGAGTTAAGGCTTAAAATGTGATGCATTAGTTTCAATTTGATACGCAAAATGGATGCCACCAGCAATCATTCTCAACTCATTGGAGATGTCTGATGACCTCTCCAATAACAATTAACATAATGCTTGAAATGTCTGGGCCTGAGAAAAATTATACGGGCTGGAAATAAACCTAAGTAAGGCTGCCGGTCCTTTTGGCCTGAAAAAAAAATGACTTTCTCATAGACTGTAAGTTAACCTTTATTTTTTAGTACGTACATCTGCACCTAACCTCATCTGCAAGTGGGACTTAATCAATGGCATATATCAAATATTTCAGTGTTTTTTTAACAAGGACAAATGTCATAAAAAGGTATGAAAACTAAAAACGGTTCAATCATTTATTTAGCTCTTCATCTGCATAAAATAAGAAGTTTTGCCAGGTGTATTTTGGTAACATGAAAGTGAAAGTAAAACCCCTGGCAGGAGCATGAAGTCTAGGAGGCACATAAAGTTGTTTATGCCGAATACCTTGGAAATATGGCTAACACGGAAATATGAAGCACCAGTATCCGAAATTTTCAATATCCGAATATTAGTAATACACAAAAATATTACACCCTTCGTGTAGCAAACTCTTGACAGTATGCAGATAAAGAAAACACTTATAAATGTTAACATAAATATGTATGCATGATTTATATCTTACATCCAAGAAAATAGACATTCCTTTTTCAACTTCTGTAGTTTCCGACATTTTTTTTTGCACGGGAGTTTATAACATGCGAAAAGTGATTCTTTTTCACGGAAATAGACACGCAAAACGGATTCAGTAGAACTACTGTTTGGCTATAACCTGGAATAGACCCCGGGGTCTAAACCAGGAGTATATATAAGGTTCTTTCCGTTTTCTTTAGTGTATTTTATATAAATTTTACTTCTAAAATATACATACATTAAGGGTCTAATCCATTGCCCTTTTCGTCCGCTTTTTTTTTTAATTTATTTTTTTTTTTTACTTTTAGTAAATGTTTAGCTAAAATGTTTTTCTACAAACAAAGAACTGTAGATGTATAACTTTTAATAGTGGAAAGTTGCTTAAAATTTTCAGCATCAATGTATGCAGAAGGGGCGGATACAAAACGGTAAGATGTGGAGGGGCGGGTTACATGTGGGTGGCAAGGAAAACAATGCGCCATTTACGTAAAGTGTGCGTGTTTGAAGATGTTGCCAACATTTGTTAATGTAACAAAAATAATATAGATGGAAATGTACTTCTTTCTTATATGTTGTGTACACTACTCTTTTCTTTCGTGCGCATGTTTAATTGATAAAACTGGAAAGAAGAATAAATGTATGTAATCAGTGTGGGAAGAGGGGTGTCCCCTCCCATAGATTGACAAACTTTTGAAATCTGAGGTTGAAAATTGTGTTATTTCCTTGACCTTCTAGTGCTGTTTATGGTACCTATTGGATGAATCAACATCACATTGTCTCAAAGCACCCTGGTGCTCAGCAACTTAATTCAGTAAAAATGTAATGGTGAATTTTTTGAATTTAGAAAAAATCGCAGATATGTTCACACGGTACTGATCATGCACGCAAGACTTTAATGTATGCATAAGATTATATTTATCAACTGTTCAAATAACCTAAAAGTTATTAAAGCTTCTACAATTAAACGAAAGTATATTGTCTTAGATTTGTTTCTTACAAACAGACATACAGAAAAACATTGCTTTGTCCAGGCTCTATTGAACATAATTAATACCTTACATGAAATAAAGCTAAATGAAGATGAGATCCGACCTTCTACCGTTTGTGATTGGTTTTCAAGAAAGGACTGAATCCAGCATAAAGCATGTTTGAAACTATCAAGTTTCATGAGTTTATAGAGGACGTTTGTGGTGAACCTCAACAAATACTTTAACTTAAGATCAAACAAGATTACTAGAAAGTCATCTTGTTTACTAGAGGTACATCTTGTGTGAATGATAGCAATTAGGATTGTCAGCTGTTTTGCACGAAACCATGTTGAAACTAAGCCAAGAAGTTTTTCTTCTCAAGGTGCTTCATCATTTTTGAAACCAATACTTGTTCTATCATTTTTTATGTAATAAATGTAAAAGAGACAGGGCGATAATTACTAGCTTTACATAAAGGCCTGTTTTAGTGTTTACATACAGGTACAGCAATGGCTGTTTTCCAGTCATTTTGAACGATACCAGTATGTTCATGATGTTTTGACGCTTTAAAGATTTAAGTGAGAAAAAAACAGCAATCTGACAGTCGAGTGTTTTTAGTTATATATCAAGGTGATAACTGATCAGGGCCTAACGCTTTACTATGAGTGAAAGCCTGGGCCAAAAATGCAAATTTAGCATGCAAAGAATCAAAAAGCAATAACCCCAATAATCTGTCATTCTTGTAAACTGTATTCCTTCTCACTTTGATCTACCTTCGAGTGAACTGTGCACTGCTCTCTTTCTCAATGAGATATTTACACCCATAAAGTATGAAATATGATAAACAAGATCAACAAGGAAAGGCGGCGTTCAATGAACGCAACCCCCACACGACCCAGCAACAAGAACCAATGAAGTTGACATTACAAACACGTTTCAAGAGAGTGATCTACTAACTTCGTCATAGGTCCACATAGTATAATGTTTTACAATACAGTTAGTTAAAAAAGCTTTGTTAGAATTACATGCAAGAAAAGTAACTTTTTTCCGTGCAAAAGTTTTCAGAATTAGGGAAGGTCACCTTTGTCTGTTCATGTGCTGACGTTGTACCACATCCAGTTTCTAGATATTTGCGTCGGTAAAGGGTCCCAGATGACATAGAAGTATTTCGCGAGAGGCTTTTCCAGGGCAATGCAGCAGAGTTCTTTGGTCTTCCTGGGGCACTGTTGGATATTTCTGTGAAGAAATGATCTGACCCTGGATCACCTTTTTTTCCAAATTTCATTTTACTGAATTGTTCTAGCACCTTTGTTCGTCTTAATACTAAGGTAGAGATTCAAGTCGTCAAACATCCTAGTGGTTGACTCTGTTGATGCATATTCATGTAGGTCATTAATGACGAGGAGAAATAAATGAGGTCCAAGGACACAACTCTGGGGAACTCTCAAATATACGGGTGCTTCCTCGGACTCGCTGTGGTCCAGGAACTCTCTTTGATTCCGTCCTTCAATGTAAGTAGTTTGTTAAGAATTTAATATAAGTGTAGTTTTGTTAACAGGCGTTGATGTGGTACTAAAAGTATGACATCAGTCTGACCAGCAGTGTTAGTGTTGCGTGCAATATCCTAGACAGTCTGGATGAGTTGAATCTTGCAGGTTGTGCGTTTTCAGAATCATGCTTGGTATCAAAGTGTATCATGCTCATTATCGTGCTGGAGCTTGTGACAATATGTTCACGTGCATTGTATGATATCGCTGTGAGGGAGACTGGCCTGCAATTCTCTGCTTTACTACAGTGAAGCTATTGCCATGACCCTCTCGTCGGTGTAGACTTTGCTTTTGTTAACCTTTTCGTTAAGGTCCATTTTCTCAGGAACCATAAAAGCTGTTCACTTCAAACTTGGCATGCATATATTTTGTCATCAAATTTTATTCCAAAAGGGTAGATAATTCAAAATGTATTTCATGCTAGGTTTCTCTCAGTCCGCATGTGCATTTTAGGCTATCCACAATAGATCTTCTGAACAGATTTTTATTCGGTGAACTATAATATCGATAGGTGTAATTATACTTCACTACAAAAGTTACGTTGGAATAATGATCGCAACTGTCTGCTCATAATAGCTGTAGATTTTACAGCATTGCAATATAAGGATCTTGCCCTGCTTGTTCTGACTGTGTAAATAGATTTTTGAAAGTTTCAACAGTGATTTCTGCCAGACCATTGTCTGATGAATGACCTTGGGATGAAGTTACATGAAAAAAGTCTGTCAAACGACTTAGTCATACAATTTTGAGAAATGTAAGGAGCTTTCTGTGCTGTATCATGGACCATTATCTGAATATAACAATAATATTCTATTTAGCTTTTCAATTTTTTAATGACTGTACTACATTTAGTACTTGAGGTTTGACTGACTTCAAAGTACTTGCTGTAAATATAAACTAATAACACATAGTCTGCGTTATTCCAAAGAGATCTGTAGCACAAAATTACCATGGCCTATCGGGTATTTTATTTTGTCTTAAGGGTTCCTTTGGATTTGAAAACCGATGCTCTATACAAATAGGGCATGTCAGAACTTTTTCTTTATTTCTGTGGCCATGTTTGGCCAAAATAGTACATTTCGATCTACATTTAGGCATTTTTCAACACCTAGATGAATGATGTCAAGCATGAGTGGTTTGAGCTCTGTTAGAACTAGAATTTTAGTATTCTATAAGATAACACCGTTTATTGCAAAATTGCAGAATATGTGGGGGCAATCTGATCTTTTGAATTTGCTTTTGCGGATCAGGTTTGGTTGCTAACCTTATTTGTTCCATGATTCGGTTACTAACTGGTAAGTACGAAGTAATTGTGTGTACATATGCTTGTAAATTAGCCGATTCGGCAATTTCCTGCCATGTGTTTGGTAAGAATTTCCAAGACAATGTATCTGCCGGTGGTACTTCTTTCCGTGCCGTTGCAGTCGAAGAGATGTTTAGTTAAAACTTTTTTTTCATATTGCTTGGAGAGGTTTATATAAACCACAAAATATAATCAATGATTAACTAATATCCCTAATTCAGAAACTTTTGCACGGAAAAAGGTACCTTTCTTGCATGTAATTCTAACAAAGCCTTTTTTTACTAACGGTATTGTTAAGCATTATACTACGTAGACCTGTGATGAAGTTTGTAGAGCACTCTCTTTTCTTTTAGACAACAATTGTATCAGGTTTGGTAAACCCTATTTAAACAGATCAAAGGAATTTCTATGGGTACTAATTGTGCACCCCTTGTCACCGATTTGTTTTTGTACTGCTATGAAAGAGACTTTATCTTGAGTCTCTCTGAAGATATACAACAAGATGTTATAGAAGCATTTAATAATACTTTTAGATACTTTGATGATATTTTTTATTTAGATAATTCTTATTTTGATCAAATGGTGTCTGACATTTATCCCCAGGAACTACTACTTAATATTAAACGAACTCTTAAAATTTGAGCACATCATTCTTGTATTTTCATATTACTGTCAACAAAAATTCTATTCACACGAAAATCTATGATAAAAGAGATGACTATGACTTGTGTATAGTTAATTATCCACATTTAGATGGAAACGTACCCCATGCAACATCTTACGGGGTTTATGTTTCTCAGTTCATTAGATTCGGTAGAGCTTGTAGCAACGTAAAGGATTTCAACGAGCGGAATATTTTCATTACCAGCAAGCTTCTAAAATAGGGATACCACTATCATAAATTGCGGAAATATTTTATAAAATTTGACAGTCGTAATTTTGATTTAATTTCAAAATCAACAGTGATTTAAAAACAATTCTGCGGCAAGGGATCAGCCAGGCTATTCTTTTGTGGCGATGTGATATACAAACTTCGTATGATTTTGGGTCATGGTAATTTTTCTGCTATTTTTACTGTTTTATTTTGACATGTTACATGTTAACTGTAAGTGAACTGGTGGAATTTTGACAACAGAAAAGGGGTAGCGTACAATGACTTAGTAATTTGGGCATAATTGACCTTGATAGGGGTAAGTGACTTCGATTTTACCTTCTCGCACGAGTACTGCAGTAAGACCATATTTCGACGAGTCGACTTGAAGAGTAATTTCCTTATTCCTTGACATTTGCATGATTTATTTTTAAGATA